TACTCGCACTACCTTTACGGACCGTGTTTCCTTTAAATGGGTGGTGGAGTTTTTTTCAACCTTATTTTGAAAGGAAGCCTTTCATGTCACTTAGGAATGAGAATCCAGCACCCCTCGCTTGACATATAGAAGGTCAATGTCAAATAAAAATAAAACAGAAACAAAGCAATGTCGTGGAGTTCTAGGCAGGAAGCCGAGTGTGTGGTCTGCTCTTTTATGTTAAAAAAAGGGAGAGGGACGTAGGTGTTGGGGGAGTGGGAAGGATGTACTGGCATCCCCTTAGGGGTTTCTCTCTGATAAACCCCAAGCAGAGGGGCTGAAGGAGAACTACACGGAGAAGGACTTCCTCTCTGTGAATGTTCTAGATTTACCGGGTGTCTGGGCTGGGGCGGGGCCCCCAACTGAGGAGATCTCACGATTCCTGCCTGCTTCAGCCCGGGGCTCAGCTGATGCCGTCTGTCCCCTTGGCTGTGTCCCGTGCAGGTCAACCACGTTCGCACGCGGGACTTCGACTGCTGCCTGGCCGTGCCGCTCCTGGCGGAGGCAGGTGATGTCCTGGCCCTGGTCATCAGCCGCAACCCGCTGGCACAGAGCAGCCGAGCCCCACGAGCACCAGGCCCCAGCAGCCCCCGGATGCTCTGAAGTCAGCGTGTGGTCTGGACACCCAAGGAGCCACGGGAGTAGATCCTGGCCTCCAGGCCTGTAACTGGGCCAGAGACGTGGCCACTCACTCATCCGCCTGTCTGTCTGGGAGGCTCTGAGTCATGGGCCGGAACCTGTCTCTATTCTCTGGTTCAGTGGTGCCTGGAGTACCAGGCAGTGAGGTCCCTGCCCCAGTTGGAGTGACATCTAGGTCTTTCTTCATATCGGGTCTCCAGGATGTCCGGAGGAGCCCTGCTCAATAGGAGTTGAGACAGGCCGCTCAGCTGGGAGAAGAGGGGTCTGGGGCCAGGGAGCACGGCTCAGTGTAGGCAGTGCTTTCTCCCAGGAGAGCTATGGAGTTGCCGGGGAGGAGTGAGCTCCCTGTCACAGGAGGTGAGAGAGTGGGAACTGGATACCCCCAGTGCAGTGCAGTCACGGACTGAGGTGTGAGGCATCGGGGCAATGTATCCACACAGGCTCAGGTAGTTAGTTTCCCCCCAGTGGGAGCCTTTAGGGTGCAGCAGTGGGGTGGGGCACTTGTTCTGGACAGCCTCTCACCAAGAGGGATGCCCCTCGGGGTGGGAGTCTAGCCCACCTTCTCCAGAATTCTGGTGTTTGGGGCTTGCTGGCATCCTCATTCTTAAGGGACTCTTGAGCTGGGGTGGCTGAACCCAGGAAACATCGGCCTGTCGAATCTGGAAGTGGGTGATTCTTGCATTTCGGCCTCTCTGGTCTGAAGCCTCTGGGATTTGAGGCCACAGTTCTGGACCCTTGGGGCAAGCTCAGTGCCAGGCTCTGGGCTCTCAGCCCCTCCCGCTTCTTTTGTAGGAGGCACAGGTGCAAATCCATATGGACACACCCCTCTTGGGCCCAGCCCCTCATGATGGGAGGGAGTCGTTTGGGGGAGAAGACCCCAGAGTTTTCATTCACCTGCCATTTCTGTGGAGATGGGAAAACCATAGAGATAGGATATGTAAGATGATACAGCTCCTCTTCAGTATCCAAACCAGTGAGGGAGGAGAGACCAGGAGAGGGAGGCACAGAGACAGAGGCAGGCACACAGGCCAGAGACGAGCCATCCCCCTCACACCCAGAGGTGAGTTTCCAGAGGGGTCCTTTAAGGAAGTTTATTCCCACTTGAAATCTGGAAGCACCAGCATCCCTTAAAGTCATTGTCCTCATCTTCTGCAGACCAAGAACCCTTTTGATTTGGGGAAGAGCACAGGCCTTCACCTGGTGGTCTGGCTGTGGCCCCGGGGATGGAGGTGGGCCGGCAGGATTCAGTCAGGTCTGGGGATTTGCTTTGCTCTTAAAGGGGTCTCAGGAAAATGGAGCACCCACTCCTGCCTGTGTCCTCCGTGCTTCTGTCCCATGGAGGCCCCTGAAATGCTCTCCCGCTTAAGGGATGAGATGGGGAGTCAAGAGGTGTCTTCTTTTTGCTCTGGATTGCTGCTTGGTTGCTCTGTGACGCCCTCTGGGTCTGACCCTCTCTGGACAATCAAGGGGTGGAGAGTCTCTGAGTAGGGACGGGCCTCCCTGTCATGGCCAGAACCATGCCCATTGGGCGCCCTGCCCACACTCTCCCTGAAGGCCTGCATTCCCTCTTCTCCTCCCTCAACCTCCCCACACCCTGTCACTCCCTGCCTTCCCCAGAGAGCCCTTCATGCCGGCCGACTGCCCAATGCCTCTGCTAACTTGGATTCCTGTGTAAACACTCACCCCTGGGGTGAAAGGACACAGCCCACCCATCGCAGGGGCACGGAGCAAAAACCAAGAGAGCCCTCAGCTTGGGGGGCCAGGGGGTGACATAGCAGAGACATGGCCACTGGCAGCCACAACTGTGTGAACTTAGGCAAGTTGCCCGGCCTCTCTGGGCCTCTGTCAAGTGACAGGGCTGGACAGGCCACACTCCCAGGGCGTCTCTGCTCAGGAGAGCTGCGTTCGACTGCAGATGAGGGAAGTGGCATCCTGACTCCCACCCCGACCAGTTTGCCCCCCCCGCCCCCCCCCCACCTTCTTGGGCTGAGGCCTCTGCCGTCCCCCAGATGTATGCAACCAGGCCCGGCAGGTGGCCCCTGGCCGTGGCTGGCCTTCTCATATGCAATATTTCTTCTGGCTTCTCAATGGGGATCATAAATCCCAGACTTGACATTTCCCGATGCCCGTCCCTGGTGAGCATTCTGCCTGCCTATGCATTTTGGGTATAGCTCCTGTGACATGCCCCTTCCACCCCAAAAGCTGTATTTTTCTCTGGCTGAGATTAGAGCATATTCCTTGTAAAGTATTTTTCTACATGGGGTTTTCTTAGGGCTCTCGGGAAGCACATGCCAAGGGGCTGCATTGCAAAGGCCATTTGGGGTCTGTTTGGGGCCTATGTGTAAATCTGTTGTCAGGGGTTGCAGTGACGTAGGAGCTGGGGATGGGGTGCTGTTGGAATGATTTTTTAAATAAAATTACTTAAATGCAGCCAGACTGTGGTATCTGTTTTTTTTTTTGTTTGTTTGCTTGTTTGTTTCTCATCATAGGCTGGCAATAGTCAGCTTCCATTTGGATCTTAGGACATCTTCCCTGCTTTTAATTAATTCATGCATCCAAAAAGTCTGCTTGGGCTACACATCATTCTAGCCCCTGGGAAAACAGCATGAACATGACAGATGAAATCCTGTCTGCATGGGGCTTATATTCTAGTGGAAGACAGACAGTGACCAGGGGAGCAAACCGTGAGGAGGTTTCTCAGCAGGTATAGAGTGCAGTGGAAAAAACCCAACCATGGGGATAGAATGGGGTCAGGAAGGACTTCTCTGAAGGAATAATTTGTGCTGAGACCTTTAAAGGGAGGAGTCAACCCTGTGGAGACCGGGAGGAACAGTGTCCTAGGCAGAGGGCACAGCAAGTGCACATGCTCGGAGGTGGGCGTGAGCTTGGTGGGTTCAAGAAAGAGAAAGGAGGCCCAGAAGCAGAGTGGGGAGACCAGGCTGGAGGTTTGCAGGGCCCAATGGTAAGGCTCTGGTTAGGGACTATGGATTTCATTCTGTCTGCAGGGGGAAGCCACTGAGGCAGGCAAGTGGCAGGTCTGCTGCATGGAGCCCCTAAAGGGTGCTGGGTGGGGCCCCATCGATGAATCTTCCCAGGGCATCCCAGGCAGGATGAGCCCAGAGGACATGTCCTCGCTGCAGCTCTGTGTGGGCGGAGGAAGAGCTTCTTTCCATCAGCTATGCAGGATGGAGTGAGCACCCCATCACTGGAGGGGTGCTAGCATGGCCAGCCTGCATTGGGTGCAATTATGTGGTTGGGCCAGGGAGCCCAAAGTGAGCTGTGCACAGGGCATCACTGCTCTTCTTAGTTCTGGGTGACAGGTTCAGAGTCCTTCTGCAATGGGAGGGAGGCAGGGGCAGGTCATGACCTGGAGAAGCAGCCCCGTCCCACAGACTGGCTGTGTGTAGGCCCTGTTCTGTGTGCTTTTCAAGAATCTCCTGGATCCTCCTACAGCCTTCAGAGGAGGCTGTTATCATTCATCTGCCCAAAACATTGACCTGCCCTGTGACCCCAGTGAGGCCAATCCCCTCTTCCGGCCCATTTCCCCATCTGTAACAGTGGGTTGGGTACATGATTCCCAAGGCAGAGGACATCCATGCCAACCACTTATTTTCTGGGGTCCTGAAGTGTCCCCCCCCTTCTGAGTCCCCAGTGTCTGTGGCATGATTTCTATTTGCATCCCTCTGGGACTTGCCTCCTCCCTGCAGCCTGCCCCACTCAGACTTGGCCATCAGAAAGCCCCTGCTTGGGCGTCAGGAAGCAACTACCCGTGGTGCATTACCTCTTGTCAGCCCGAAGCCTTGAAGGGGGTGATGGTTTATTCCAGGTGGGGAGACAGACTGATGTGAGGTCTCCCAGCTGGGTGTGCAGCAGGTGGGCGTCGGTCCCCAGGGTTGGTGGAACCAGCCAGAGTAGACCCAGGAGTCGGAGGACAACTCTTTCACAGACTTGCTGTGTGCCCTTGAGGCATCCCCTCCAGGAGAGGATCTTCCGCCTCAGTGTCTCCGACCCCAGATGGCAATACCACGAGGAAAAACAGCCTCCTCAAAAACAGAACCCACGCATGTTGGATTTTAAAAAGGAAATGTTTATTTTCATGTTATAAGGTGATTACAAACTCCTCTAAAAAAAAGCAAAGATGAATTTAAAATATCGATATACATATTTATCTAAAAAGCAAAAGAGGAAAAGAAGAGCCCTGCGAAATACAGGGATTATATCATAAAACATTTATACACAAAAGCTTGTATACTGCAAGACTGAATTATACACCGAGGATCTTATTCAGATACAAATGTTCCTCCTCAGAAGAGTCTCGTTGGTTGTTGCTTTTTTTTTTTTTACAAAAGTTTAAAATATCTTAAAAATATTTTGAAGTCTTAAAAAAAAGTCCTGATGAGCCAGACATATTTCTGGAAGGAGGCAAGACCCACGATCTCAGCTTTCTCTTGTGCTAAATACAGTCACAGTTGCTAGGGATTCGAAAATTAATTGGGGGGGGGGGTGGAGAAACGGAGCCAACATCTCAATTTGAAGCCAAATATATAACAAGATGCTCCATCCCTCAGGGAACTGTCAGAACACGTCTGTAGTGACACCCACAAGAGAACAATGAAACATAGCTTCCTATTAAAAACAAGAGCATTCTGAGGGCCAGGCGTTAACAGGGCAGGGGGGCGAGGGAAATGCTGTTCTCTGGCTTCCGGGTTACTCACGCCCCTCTCTGAGTTTTGCTCTCTGGGATTTTGTTTGGTTGGTGCTTGTTGGATTTTTGCACGGTGCGATTTACGTGGGGCTGCCTGGCACCAGGTCTCGGGGCTGGATGGGACCTCTAGCCGCCTCGAGCTTTCTCTTGCATCCTTCCTGGCCTGTGTCTAGGCTCGAGGGGAAGGCTGGCACCTCTGCCTTGAGCACTGGCTGCCCAGAGTTTTTCCCCTTCCAGAAGGGCAGTGTTGGGGAGAAGCTGGCTGGACCATGGACCGCCGTGCTGTGGCGGCCTGTGGGGGATGCAAGATCACCGTGTGCTAGGCAGAGGGCAGCTCACTCCCCTCGTGCTTCACCACCTTCTTTAGGGGTGCACTGGGGATCTGGGATGAGAACAAGAGATACAGAGAGGGGGTTCTGTGCCACCCAGAAATCACCCAAGGCTGCTTCTAGCTGCCTGGGAATGTCCCGCACGGCCTCAGGCTAAATCCTGCCCAAGGACTTCTGCTTCTTTCCACAGCTGGCTTCACTGGGCCTCAGTTTCCTCATGTGCAACAGGGATCTCAGTTCCTAGCTCAGAGGGCTACTGGGTACAGAGCCGGACCTTTGAGGATGGGGAGGGGGTGAGGGGTGCTTCTCCTCGTCCCTGAATGCTGGGGCACAGAGCGCTTCCTTGTTCATAAAGGCTCGCCTCTGGTCTTCAGGGAGAACACTGGGGAGACGCACTTGCCACTTGCCACACACACCTCAGAGAACCTGCAACTGGAACTGACTCGGGACAGCCTGGTTCCAGTCCCTGCCCACTGTGCCCGGTCTGTTCTGTGCTCGGGGCCTCGCAGAAGAAGCCCCCCATTTTCCAAGGGCGCGGACCGGGGAGGCACTGACTGTGCAGGACTGTCCCCTGGAGGGGCCAACACAGCCCATGGCAGGCTCAGGGAAGCATCTCCCTGGGTGAGATTTAGCCTAAGGCCCTTACCCATTTCTGCATCCTCAGAAAGTTCTTTAACCATCTCCCTTACATCCCTGCCAGAGCTGGCCAACTGGGCTAGGTGCAGGCACCAGAATTTCTGACCCATTCCCAAGGCAGAGAGTGGGTGGACTGCCTGTTCTCCAGAGACAGGAGGACCAGAGTCATGAGCTCCAATGACAAGTTTCCTTTATGTGGAGACATATCAAAGTCATGCATCATTACACCTTGTACTCACAGAGCCAAGTTCTGCAGACACACAAGGGCCAGGGGAGTAGATAAGAGGGCCCGATTGGAGACAGGTAAACTGGGAGATTGTCAAGAGAGGGGCTCGGGGAAAGTGGCTGACCTTCCTTCCAGGCAGGGCCTGGGGACTTGGTCTGCTTGTGTCTTTGGTCTAGAATTTGGTCTGCAAATCTTATGAGAAGAAGCCTTTCTCAGGCCATTTCCAGAATGTTGCAATTTACCTACCAACCCCAAATACTGTAGCCTTTTTACCGGAGGGGAGATATTGTAGCCTGAGATGACCACAAATGCCCAGGCAGCCACAGCTTACCAAGCACCCCTTGACCCCACACATCACCTGTCCCCAATCATGGACAGTGGTTAGTTTACTAAGTTCCATGAGGCGAAGGAAAACAGATCACATTGCTACTCAGTAAAATTAGGAAAAGACACAACAACAAAATCAACTCAGACACAGCGGCAACCATAAATACATAGAAAAACAGGAACACAGAATTGTTAACGGTTTGGAATAGGACTGGGTATTGTTTGGCAGAGTGTATCCTTTGGAAACAGTGAAATGTGAAATGAGAATGCTTGCCAGAGAGAAGAGGTTCAAGGTTGCCTCCGCCTCTGGGGAGGGGGCACACACCAGAGGCTCCTCCCCTCCCAAATTTAGGGAGAGGGTTCCAGGATTCAGAGAGCCCCCACTCTCAACACCTGAGCTGGGCTTCACTCTCCGCACCCCACGAGGCAGTCACTGGCGTTTGTGCATGACAATGTTTTGGTTGAGTTGAGACTCTGAACTTGGAAGTGACAGTTTAAATGGCACAGTTTAGGTCCAAATGGGGGCTTGGGTGGAGACGTGTCCGTCTCAGGATTTTAAAGGTAGAGTACCTTCTCTACATCTTCAGAGAGGAGTGCCGCTCTAAATCAGGCTCTTGGCCAAGCCAGTTCTGGGGTGCCAGCCCCCTGAACAATCCTACCTTTCTAGAAAATGCTCCCTCGCCTCCTCTCCTCGGTCCCCACGTGGTGTGCATCCAACACCGGCTACTGCAGGAGTTGTGAAGTCATGAAGAGCTTCACTATTTCCCAAGCCACCACCAAGGGCTGCTCTTGCGCCGGAATGGGGAGGAGGGCTTGGGAGCGCTTAGCCCGACTCCAAGATTCAGGGAGCCTCCAAAAGCACTCTTGGCACTCCCAGCTAGGAGCTGGGGCAGCCGGGGGCGGGGAGCTTGTCAGGAGTTTCCCAGCCTCTGGGAGATGAGGACAGAGCTGAGGATGGAGAGATGAGGAAAGAAAAGCAGCCCTCCCTGACACCAGGCCTCTCTGAACGCCTGGGCCCACACCCTTTGGTCCACTGGCTCACCCCTCGTCCCTCACCAGATACATCATGCTTCTCTCCTACACAGAGCTGCAAGACATGTCAGCTGGGAAATGGCCAGAACCTGATACAACAGAATCCCATAAAACACAACAGCCCCATCTGTGCGAGGTTTGGGGCCCTGAGATCCCCGGCTCCTGCTGGGTTGGCCCTGGGCGGCAGCCAAGCAGTCCGCCTCCTGAATGTCGGGGCGCCATCCTCACTGGCCCTCCCGGGAGCCCTTGCCGCTCCCTCTCGGATGAATGGTGCTGACAACCTGCCCGACAGTCCTTCTGACTATCCACCCTCCATCTCAATGTACCAGGTGGGGTTTTGCTGCTGGTACAACGGTTTCTAGAGAATCAGACTTGCGCTGTACGGCCTCCTCTGTCTGCCTTAAGTCAATCCCTTGATCTGAGGGGTTGATCCATTATTTTGGCATTTCTCTTATTGGCTAAGACAAGTGTCATTGAAGCTTGTGGCCCTCCTTTCTCCAGCCTCTCTGGGTCTGGCCAGCTAGTGGGGCCTCCCCTCACCGCCCCAGCCCCACTGTATGCTTCTACTCGAACCAGGCTGAGAAGGTACTACACCCTTAAAATGGGTCTACTGTCCAGGTCAATTCCACCCTGTGTTTTTGGGGGGCAGAACTTTCTGCCAGCTACACAAGCACCGAAGAATTGCTTTTAAAAACGAGATCTATTGCTGGCAAGAAGATCGATTCAAGTGGTAAAACTGTATGACAATCTCTAAATGTATATATAGTTATATGTAAAAAAAATACAAAGAAAATTTTACCAAGTTCCCATAAAATACATCTAATTCAATATGAAAGCTCTGCCTCGTCCCGGACATCTGCCGGTGGGTTTTCTTTTTGTACAAAATATCCCCAAATCAAAACAAAATACACATACGCACAATACCACACACACACACACACACACACACACACACACACCAACACACACACACACAGAGTAACATTTTCTGTGACAATTAAAAAAAAAACAATCCTAGTGCAAATAGAAAGCTCTGTAAACCTGGTCCTATGAGAATCTAATGTTAGTAAACAGCAGGGAAGCGGCCCGTCTGCCCAGGAGCTCACATCATGGTCTCTACTATGATGTGGGTCGGTTTCATGAGAGCGCCGTTCACGGCCAGGCGGGAGCTGTAGGGCGTAGCCCCCTCGCGCTCCACGGCCCAGCGGTTGGGTTCCCTCGGGGTCAGCAGGTACTTGAGTCTCTGGAGAAGGAAGAGGATGGCAGTAGAGAGAAGTCAGGCGGCCTGGCTCCCCACTCCACCACGACTGTCTACACCCTGAGTCCTGCCAGTGTGCCCTCTGGCCTTTGGCAAACTACCACCCTCTCTGGACCCCCCCCCCCCCGTTTCATCTACTGGCAGATGAAGGAATTGAACTAAGGTGCTTGGAAGGTCCCTCTGGGCCTTGAATCAGGGTGGAATTTCCGAGGAGTTTCCTTGGGCAACCCTTGCTTGCAGGGACAGGGGACTCACACCTCCCAGTTCCGACTTCTTTCCTCCCACGGAGCTAAATATGCCTCCTAGTAATTCCCATCCCTCAATTTCTCTGACTTGCAAAGCAGCCCCAGCCGAGTTCATGCAATTTGCATGCCAGAGGCCGGATAACTGTTGTGAGCCTCCCATGGCTCCCACCTTCCCCAAGAAGAAACTCCACCAAACTCCTCAGCCACCTGTAAACTGCATTTCCTGCTTTCTCACACCCTCCCCACCCATTCCCTCTGCAGGGCTTTTCCCTGCTCAGGGCTCGGAGACCACTGCTCTGTCTGAGCTGCACCTTCTGACAGAGACAAGCCAGAGGCTGGATTTCATGAGAATCACCCCATCACTTTTGGGCAGGGTGAGTTTTGCCCTCTGGGCTGGTTACTGGATCATGGACTTGGTGAGGAAAAGAGTCCTTCCCAGGAATTGGGACTGGGACTCCTCAGGGCTCCCGACTCCCCAGCTCCCCTCCTGCCAAGCATCCACTCTGAGACTTAAGCAGCAAACAGTTGTCAAGAAGAAACCTTCCTACTTAGGCATTTACATTCAACTTAAGTATATTACAATCTTTTTAAAGCTGCTTATTAAAAGCTACACTATTTTACTCAGAAAACCCAGATTCCATCTGCTCTTAAAAAACTGCAAGGCCTGGTAACCCCAGGGCCACATCCCCTCTTGGTAACAATAGGCCAGAGCTGAGTGCATGGCTGTCTGCTACAGCTCTAGATCACCTTCTCCAGGGGCCTCTCAGCCCTGCCCGAGGGCTTCCCTAGCCTGGGTTCCCTGCCTGGTCCTGGGGGACAGTTCCTGGTGGCTGCAGCTAAAGGGCAAAAGATGAAAGGCCAGCAGGAGAGCAGGCTTGGCTCCCTTCCATCACGCTGCCTCTCTGCGCAGATGTGTGCCCAGAAGATTGGGACAAGAGGCAGACAATGCCAGGCGGCCACCCGGGGCTCTAGGCTTGCAAACCTGGCTGGGGGCACAGCCGGGAGACAGGTTGAGGGGTAGGCTCGGGGGACACAGCAAATGGATTGATGGTGGCTCCTATGCCTTCAGAAGAGGGGGCTTTGGTTACCCAACTGGTTTGTAGGTGCAAGTTTGGATGGAGGCCTCACCCATACCTTCCTCTTCCCCCCCCCACAAAACCCCATTCTCATCAAACCTCTGAACTTGGGATGAAACTACTTTAAAATTAAGCTTTGAAGGGACTCGGGTTAGTATTAGGTGTCCCCTCTCTGTGGCTGAAATTGCGGAACAGACATCCAAGACTCTCTGCTGTGCCCCAATTAACCTTTTAGTTTATGGGTGGTAGGTGCATTCTGGAAACTCCCAGGGAGGGTCTGGGTTGGCATGAAGTGTTTGGTGGAGGTGGGGGCTGAATGTGGAGGACTCAGGGCCGTAGCAACCACCCGTCTGTCGCCAGACCCAGTATTTCAGGATTTTAACAAATGATAGGGCCTAGCAGTACTATGGCTGAGCACTGGGGTCCTTCCCTGTGTCCTCTGAGGAATTACAATGGTTCTGATGCTGAGGGAACACCCCAAGGGCCCAAGGGCTGTCCTGGCTGAGATGGACCCCAGCTTCATGGCTTCGTGTTTTGCTCCCGGGCACACCCCGGCCGACTTCCTCTGTCTCGGGAAGGCTGCTCCCTCTCTGCCAGGCCACCCGTCTCCCCCCACCAATACCACCTCCAGGCCTTTCCCCTGCCCACAAGGAAACTGGCCCAGCCCAAGGGGGAGCCAGGGCCCCAGGACATCCTGGCTCCAGATTTTTAAGAGAATAACAATAAAAACAGCCCAGAACAAAACAGTGTAGTCTTGGAGCTGGCCCAAGCCCAAAGGTTAAGGGAGATTCTAAGAAAAGGATTTCTTGGAAAGAACCCCTGCTCTTGCCACAGCCTGGAATTTGCAGTATTGTTGGGAGAAATTTTTGAGGGGTTGGTGGTGAGGAGGGGGCCTCGGGTGGGAAACTGGCAGGCACAAGACCGGGGCCGCAGATCTGGGGAAAGGGCCACCAGCACCGGTTGGGCTTATCCAAAACTTGGCTTCAGAGTAAGAGAAGGCCTCTGGGTGGAGCTCAGGCTTCCTTCCCGGCTCCTTGTCTCCTGGCGTATGGCTACAGCCACATGGCTCCCACTGCTCCCAGGATAAGCCCCTAGCTCTGAGCTTGGCATGCAAAACCGCTGTCGCCTGCCCAGCGCCATCGCCCACTCCCCAGAACATGTCATTGCTGCCCAAGGGCTGTCGCATGTCCTTGCCTGCGAATGCACTGGGCATCACACCCTTCCATTTCTTCTTCCCTGCCTGGTAAATTCCTCCTGCCCACAGCCCTGCTCTCAACATCACAGCAGAGCCTTCATCCACATGAGTTGTTCTTCGTTCCCATTTCCCCACACGCCTGCCCACCATCTCAACCCCTCCGCATGGTGGGCAAGGGATCCGGGACCCAGAGAGGGCAGCGGTGTGCCCAGGGTCACCCAGCAAACCTAGGACGGCCAACAGCCAGCAGCTAGCTTTCATCCTCCCGCCTCTCACCCTCCTGCACCCCTCACATCCAGCCTCGGTCTATGTGCTCACCACGAGGAACGGCCCTTCCGTCTGGCAGAGGCGGATGACCATGACCAAGGGGACACACATCATGGAGGACAAGGCCAGACTCCAGCCCAGCCCGATGGCCCAGGTGGGGTACACGTAGACTTTGTTGTAGGTCAGGGGTACGTACTTGACGAGAGAGAAGATAAAACATCCCTGTGGAGAGATAGGGCAGTCAGGGGGGCCCTGCACATCGGGGGCAGGAAGCTTCAGGAAGCAGGGCAGGCGCCACCCCAGGGGCCTCTCTCCCTTCTCCACTCTGCTGCCTGAGGAGCTCCCCTGGGCCGACCTGACTGAGTCACTTTCCGGCTCAGGACCCCTCTGTGGCTTCCCGGTGCCTTCAGGGTGCCATCCGAATGCCTCAACCCAGCCAGCAATGTCAGCCAAGAGCTATGCCCTTTCTGCCCTTACTTACCCACCACCCCTGCCCCTACATCTACCCTCCAGCTGCCCAGCTCCCCAGATACCTGCCCTGGGACCTTTGAACAGGCTGTGTTCTGAATGGACCCCCTTACCCTGCATCTCCTTGTCCTAATTTAGTTCTCTTGGTCCTGCCTTACTTGTCTAGGCCCCACCAAGACTCAGGTGCCCATACTTTTCCTTTCCAGGAAGCATGTGGTTATAATTACTCCTTCAGCATACACTCCTCCACCCAACTGAGTCAGTGAGGACAGGTGGGGCGTTAGTCTCATTCCCCCATTTCTCTAGCACCTGGTGCAGCTCCAGGTGCACCCAGCAGGTACATAGTAAATGCTAGCTGCATGGATAAAAGTCTTTCCTCCCCTCCCCCACTGCCACCCACCCTTCTCCATCCCGGGGCCTAGCCTCCCAGAACAAGGTGTGGGCTTGGACCTTCTTGCCCACTTGAGTGTCCAGTCCCAAACCCATGCCAATGGCCAGTGGCCATCAGCGTCCATGAATGGTGGTGTGTGGTGAGCTCTGAGCGCAAAGGCCTGTGCAAAGTCCACATTTCCTCCAAGAAGAGCACATGAGGCTGGCTGGGAGGGCCCAGGACTTCTGCTTCTTGTCAGAATTACATCTTAGTATATAACCAAGGGTTGTCTAAATCGATACACAGTGTAAATATGACTTAAATCTTCAATACCTAATATCTGGGGTTTGACAGGAAGACAAATCTACATAAATCAGAATTAGTGATGGAGGAAGGGAGAGCACGAGGCTGCAGTCGCCTTCCACAATGCATCTAGTGTACGCCTGGCTCTGTTGTGGTTTCCGTCCCTAAGGGTGGAGTGTAGTTCAGACAGGGAGAGGCCCAGAGGACAGCTGCTCGAGGCTCTCCCAGCACAAGGAAGCTTGCTACCTGCCCATTCATATTCCTCTTTCCACCAGGGTGACCTCATTCTGCCACCTGGGGATGCAGACTACTTCTGATCTATCCAACTCCTCGGGAGGAAAGGAGGAAGAAACTGACGGTCAGAGTGGTGAGAGGAATTTCTCACAAACCAATGTCAAGTGAGGATGAGGAACAAGAACACAGGCTTTGAACCCAACTAAATTTATCTCCAACAATAACCTGTCAATTGTGGTTACTGTTGCTAGAGTTCACCAAATTTTGTGGGGAAAATATGCACTTCAGATGAGAAGACCATAGCCATATTCAATGACAGCAGTGACAGCCCAAGGCTGTTGGCGCTACTCACCTCCCACTGCAGAGTGGGACAGGGTAAACTTTATGACAGAGTAAACCAGAGTCCCGCAAGATCAGGGACCTGCTTAAGGTCCCACACAGTGACTTAATGGCAGTGCGGGTTTATTCTGGCCTGGGAGCAGGGTCACTGAGGAGAGGATCTGTCCATCTCTCAGCACCTGGTTCCTACATGCAAAGAACATTTCTGCCATTTGCATTCTCCATGCCATGAGCCGAGGACGGCACAACAGATATCTTCCCCTGTAGTTAGCTCCAAAACTCACAACTGGTTTCAAACAACAACTGGGGAAGCAGAGGACTTCCCTTTTGCCAGAGCCTCTGAGTGCAAGTTTGAAGTGGGGTGCCTGGGCATGCTCTAAGCTATATTCCAAGATGGCAGGCAAGGGAACCCTGATGGGAAGGGGAACATGGCCCATGACCGCCCTTGGGTCCTGGGTGGCTACGAAGCTTCCTTGTTCTTGGCAGAGTCCAGAGCATCTCTTTACTGGGACTTTCCCTTTCTGGACACAACCTGCACCCTGTCATGAAAACACCACATTTCCCACATCTATGATCTGTCTCCATTTGACATCCTAAAGGCCCCTCAACTTAATCAGTGACCCAAACTGAGCTCACTGAGCTCCAGAAGGGCTCGGGCAAAGAGCATGTGCTCTGTTGTGGACTCTCTCAATTTCTCGACGTGCCCTGATACACCTTCCTCTTTCAGAATGCCTTGCCTTTGCACAGGCTGGTTCCTCTGCCAGGGATCCCCTTTCAGTCTTCTCCTGACCAGCTCTTACCTATCCTTCAAAACTCATCTCAAGGTAACTTTTGGGAGCAGCCTGCTGCCCCACCTCCCCCAGACAGAGGCGTCACTGGGCTTGTTAGTTACAGGCCAGCGCTTGGCAGGTGCTGAGTGAAAGATGGTTTGGCAGGTAAGAATGTCAAGCCCCAAGGAGAAAAGGCACCCACAGCCAGGCAGGGCAGGACTCACAACACAGAGAACTGGAGTGACCACGGCCCAGCTGTACTTCATCCAGGGCCCAGGCCGATAGCCAATCATGTCCTCAATACCGTCATAAAGGTTATCGCTGCCTAGGAGAGACAGAGGTAGACAGATGGTGACACTGTGTCCAACACCAGCATCTGAATTGCACTACAGGGGCCTTGGGGGCCTTGAGGGGTCTCTGGGGTCTGCTCCAGGTCCCTGATACTCAACACTATGTAGACCCAAAAGTGGCAAGCATTTATCTGAAATTATTTGAAATTCAAATGTAGCTGGGTATATCCTATATTTTTCAGGCAAACTTAGGCAGGCTGTAAATCCTGGTGTGGCCAATCCAATGTCTAGAGGGGGTTGAAATGGAGCATGGCTGGATCCCAGAGCAGTAAATCATAGGTGAACCCTGCATAGCCAAATTCCCTATTTGTCAAAACATATAATCACATCCTGCATCTTTGTATTCAACTCAGAATGAATTCCTCTTAGAATTCTCTGTTTCGGGGATGCCTGGGTGGCTCAGTGGTTGAGCATCTGCCTTTGGCTTAGGGTGTGATCCTGGAGACTCAGGATCGAGTCCCACATCGGGCTCCTTGAGGGGAGCCTGCTTCTCCCTCTGCCTGTGTCTCTGCCTTCCTCTCTCTCATGAATAAATAAGATAAAATCTTAAAAAAAAAAAAAAAAGAATTCTCTGTTTCGGAAGCTTCTAAATACACAGACCCAACGCAGAGACCTGAGAAAGGATATGCAACAATCCATACTCACCATATATCCAGGCAATAACAAAACATTCAAAGAATGCAACCCACAAAAGGCATACACCGCTAGCTGCATAGTAGTCAAAGAGTTGAAACACATACATGCCACCCTGTGAAGAGGAAAAACCAAAGAACGTTGATTTGCTATATGGTACTCAATGCCCTAAATATATAAAGAGCTTTGGCATATCCTTAAGAGATATAAAACCCAAGAGAAAAATGGGCACAGACTATGATGACCTGTGTAAAAAGATGCTCAACTTCATGTTCGACAAATATAATTAAAAACATACACGCTCAGGGGTGCCTGCCTGGCTCAGTCAGCAGAGCGTGTGACTCCTGATCTCAGGGTTATAAGTTCAAGCCCCACACTGGGTGTAGAGATTGCTTAAGAAAATAAAATCTTTAAAACACATACACATACAGAAAAATGAAAGCACAACATGTTTTCCTTAGCAAAATGATGGGTTTCCTGAAGCCAGTTTCCAAAGGAGGTGCTGAAAACTAACTGTGGCCAGCAGAGACTACTCCAGTGATATCCAGCTGCTCAGGGTGGACCTGTGATCTGCCTTTGGTGGGTGCGTGCACATGTTTCTTAAAGACACTTCTAGAGAAACATTTATTTGTATTTCCAGTAGGAAAAAGTGGTGAAACCCAAATTCCGTTTGGGGGCAAATGCAGCAATTTGCTGGAGAATGTGGGGAGGTAGATGGGAAGGGGTGCATGAGACGGCAGGCCCTAGGCCTATGCCAGGCTTATAGACTTGTTATTTAGCACAAGATTCTTTCTTCTCTGGCCTGCCTCTTCATAGACAGTGGATCCACTGTTGCCTTAGACACCCTGTGCTTCCTTCCTTTCTGCATCTTTTTTCCCATTTAGATGGGTCCTCCTCAAGTCCCCTGACCACCCTCTGAACAGCACTCCCTGTCAACCAGACAGGCCCAGTACTGCCTGCAGTATTCACCAGGAGGTCCACATTTACCCTCTGGAACGTGTCCGCCTCCCCTCCAGGCCTGGGGAAGGGCCGATGCACATGTTTTCATGGGTGAAAAGAGCTGCTATTAAAATGGATTTCAGCTGAAGCACCTCTCCCCCAGGCTTCCTGGGACGAGGGAGGGACAGAGAATGGGGGGGGGGAGGGGGGAAGAGACTGGTGTTGCCATGGTAACAGGAGAAAGGGTTGGGGAGTTTGGGTCAGCTGGGTCCCGACCTGCCTCCTGCTGCCCAGGATGTAGGCCACTTCCCCTGGGCAGGGCGGGACCCTGAACTGGATGGGGCCCTATGGCTGGGCCTGGGGCTGGTCTGGTGGCGGGAGAGGGTGGCACAGCCCTGAACTAACTGGTCTTTGAAGCCTGTGTAGGTCACCAAGGGCCCTGCAAGAGGAAGTCCCCCCTGCCGGGCGAGAAAGCCACCTACCTCCGTCACCATCGACAGACCCAGCAAGTAGCTGATGCTACACATGAAGGCGATGAAGATTTCCCGACGGAAACCCTTCCTTAGGAAGGATGGGTAAAGATCGACCAAGGACGTGACCTGTCCTTCGACTTCAACAAACTGTGGAGGAGAAGACAGTGGTTGAGCCCTGGATGCCCAGCACCTCCTCTCCACTCAGATGGGAGAGCCCCAGTATGCCCAGGGTAGCCTGGGGGAGGGGGTCAAGTTTGTCCAAACGTACGAACCTGGTCTCATGGGCTCTTCCCAGGGAGTCCCACTTGCTGCTTAAGCCACAATGGGTCAGGCACAGACATCCTACACATCCGTGTCTTGGCTTAGCTCATCAGATGCCTTTCCCTCATCATTCAAGACTCAGTTCAAGAATGACCACTTCTCTGAAGCCAATTCTGACCTCCCGCCTTAGCCTGCTTGCTGGCACATGTGTGTTGGCACCAACACCTCCCCCATTTCGATCTTGGTCCTTTCTGACACTGAGGGAGGGGCCCTCCCTGCCCCATTTCTAGTCTCGGGTTCCCAGCTGGGCCAGGCACATGTGGCTGCCCAACAGACACATGAAGAATGTGGGGTGGGTGGGTAACTCAGGGTAAGCCTGAGCCCCACTTTCTCCAATAGATTCACACAATGGTTTTGGTTCTGTGGGAATCATGGATCTTGAAAGAATCCCACACACCCAAGTGCCCACATGCCTGCACCCATTCTGGGCTCCCAAAGGTAAAGAAGACCACCTGGAGAGGCCCCTCCTTGGGTAACATGCTAGGATGATTCTCAGTCTTTCTAAATCTTCCCATCTTTGCAACCAACAATGTGACTTGGAGCCTGAGCCAAATCACTACACAGTGGGCTGCCTCTGTTTTAAATGGCAGCATGAAACTCTGTCCTGTAGACAGGTATCATCATGGGTCTGACCAGTGCCTGATGGATGGGCTCCACCCTTCCGTGGCTACTGACCTGGGCAAGGGCTCTTCCTCTACCTCTGTCTTTGCTGCCTATGTATCCAGAGCATAACCCAGAAATGAAGCTTCAGGGTTGAAGGGTACGTAGAAGCATTTTACATTTGGTGGCTACAGCCCAAATCCTCTGCCAACCAACACCCCCTCCAAGGCCTGTCTGTCTGATTGCTTTAAAAGTTGAAGAGCTGGGATCCCTGGGTGGCTCAGTGGTGTGGTGCCTGCCCAGGGTGTGATCCTGGGGTCCCGGGATCAAGTCCCACATCAGGCTCCCTGCAGAGTCTGCTTCTCCCTCTCCCTGTGTCTCTCGTGAATAAATAAATAAAATCTTAAAAAAAAAAAAGTTAAGGAGCTAAAACCTTGACCCTTCTGTTCTTTGATCTGCGAGAGGCATTTGGGAAGGATGTTTCCCCAGCCTTCCTACAAGAAAAGTCTAACCAGTTACTCCTTTGGGATGCATCACAGGAGGATCAAGGAATACAAACAAGGAGCAAAATCCTTTCATGGCTGGAAGGGTCTGGAAAAATGATTCTTTGTTGCCAGGAATTCAGAGAAAAGATGAGCAAGAGTCTCTTGAAAGGGGCCCAAAGAGAAGTGGCTGATGTCTTGACCTCAGCCTGGTTGATGTGTTAGCCAACGGGGTTTTGACCCTAAATTGCCACTGAATTACAGCAAACCAGCTCAAACATCAATCTTCAAAAGGAATGAGGAACAAAAGTTCTTTCCTTTTTGAGATGGGGAAATTAAAGACAGGAAGGTGCAGCTTCATTGAGAGTCAGGGTGAACACTGATACAAGCTCCTCATTTCCAAGCATCCTGCATTTCTGGAGAACCGCATCCCCACCCCTCAGCCCTGCTCCCCCCTGCCTCTTCGGGTCCCCCTCACTTCACAGCTTGTGTAACCCTGATTTCTTCAAGCATCAGTTTTCTCCCTGGTGCAATGGGGGCTTCTTGCCTACTCTCAGCAGGGCTGTTGAGCAAGATCTGAAATCACGACAATAAACCAGGCAATTGCGTGAGTCCTGTGGACCCATGGTGGGGGGCTGAGTTAGCCCCAGGGAGATGGGGACCAGTTTTCTCCTCCTCTCGTGCTGCTGGTTCTCTCGTGCTAGCGTCTGGCTCCACGTGGATGACATCCCTACTCCATCTCACCAAGAAATACAGAGTGGTACAATGGATCCAAGCCAGGCTTCTCCCACCAGACGCTAGGGATACTGGGAGGGTATTTCCTTGCGTGCAAGGGTCACACTCCATTAGCGAGAGGCCTCTGCCTGAGGGTGGCTGTGCATCTCTGCACTTCCGTGGGAGGAGGGTGTTCAGGGAGATCTCCAAGGTTAAGGTGGAGACTCAGTGGAGCCCTTATCTCCCTCAGCCTCGGTTTTCTGGGCTCTATATAGGGCAACAGTTGGGAGTAGGCCCAGCTATAGGGAGGCTACAGATTAAGGAGCTGACATATGGAAACAAACAAACAAACAAAAAACCCAAGATGGGGAAAGGGGGCAATGGGGAGTTGTGTTTAAAAGGGACAGAGCTTCCGTTTGGGAAGTTCTGAGGATGGAAGGTGGTGATCGTTGCCCAACAGTGTGAGTATACTTAATACCACTGAATTGCATGCTTAAAAATGGTTAAGATTGTCCGTTTTAGGTTATGTGCCTTCTTCCACACACGGGTACATCAAAAGCCCGGCATGAAGCCTTGCCCCCAGGAACAGCTTGCGTGACACTACTGATGGTATCACGGCGTGGGCAGTGCGTGAGGCAGTCACAGGCATCTGCAAAACCTTCCCCTGTGTCCCCGCGTTCCCATAGCAAATGGATGCAAAGGAGGGATTCCAATCTATGCCATCAGACTCCTAAGACATCATGCCCTAGCTCCTCGGGTTCAAATCTCCGTCATGCCTGTCCTTGGTATATCAATTAGGCAGGTCTTTTAAGGGCTCTGAACCTTGCATTTCATGTTCTGAGCTCTCTCTGAGGCTGGCTTTGAGAGCTCCCCACGATTCCCCGAGCCTGTTGGCCGCCGTGAGGCCTAGCTCAGAGGTGTCTATCCCTGGCCAGGCCCCACCTGCCTCCCAGGGAGAAAACCTAATGAATAAACCACCTCTGCTCACTCAGGAAGCAGCTTCCACAGCCCAAGAGGCCCACTTTGGGTCCATGGGGATGTCATGCTTTGTCATTTATTAACCTCTCTCTGTTTTTGTTTTTTGCTTTCACTTAGAGCTTTGGCAGAAGTTATAAAAGCCATTTGCTTGGGGCCTCCGAAGGCCAAACTCATTAACGAGGGATGATTAATGGAGTCCTCTTGCTGTTTATACAGCTCAAGCCCACCAACAACTGCACAAGTATTTTGTTTTCAGGCTCCCAAATGTTTCCACTCTGTCTTCTCTGCTAATCCTGGTCCTCTTCCTGCCAAATCCTTTGCTCTGTTCTTGACCTTGCTGGCAGACTGCCTCCTCTCCTCTGCCTGACCTTCTAAGACGTTCCTCCTACCTGGTTCCGAGTCCACAGGGACCCACCCTGGGCACTGGTTTGGAGGCTGCTGCCCACGGGTGGGTGGTGAAGCCCTCTCCTGACTGGCAGCAGGCCTCACCTTTCACAGGGCCCCCGCTCACCAAAGATTTCCCATGAGGCAGCCAGAGACCCAGACCACACAGGAGACAAAATGCCTGCCTTTCAGATGCGGGCCCCTGGGTGGTACTGCCTGTAGGGTTCTGGTCCATGGATACCACCAGCCCGCCCTGTACACCCTAACTCCCCAGTCCTGGAGTCATGCCTGTGCTCTAAACTGTCATCTTGAGACAAGCACCACTTGCTGCTCTGTATCAGGCACTGTGCCTCGTACTTCATTCAAGGCAACAGAGGTATAGTCACACGTATTGACCAGATGAGAAAACAGTCTCAGAGAGGACAGGAAATGTGCCCAATGTGCCCAATGTCCCAGAGCAGCAGGGGGCTTGGAACCGTTACTCCAAAGCCATACTCAGGCTCTGGTTGGCTCTCACTGACCTACCCATGGAGGGATGGGACATAGGATGAAGCAGTGCAGGGAAACAGCGTTGGTAGAGATGGTGTCCTGCCTCGCGGGTGCAGAAGCCAGGATGGCCAGAGGACAGAGTGGGTCTGAGCGAGGCTCCCCAGAGCTTAGCTGTGCACCAAACACGGAAGAATCACAGTTTTTCACTTTGTGGGAAACAACCCCAGTGCTCCAGGAATCACAGAACACCAGCTGTGGTTTAGGACAACCAGTGACGGCTTGGGCCATGACTGCTGGTCTCCTCCCCACACTGCCTGTCTGTGTGACCCCCCATGGGAACACATCATCACCACTTGGTCTTGTCCTACTTCCCGGCTAGGGCTTTGTTTTAACCACACCCGCCAGCGGTCTGTTTCCCCTTGCTGGGGTGGAAGACTCAGTGTCCTCCCCCTGCTGCCCTCAGGCCTCTTCCCGCCTCCCACCCCCACCCCGGGGTCCTAGGACACCTTGATGGCTGAAGACGGTGCCAGTCTGATGTGAGGGTGGGAAGGGGGCTCCCTCAGAACCACGTCCCCCAGGGGCAAGCCCTCCACAGGGCACCCCCTCTCCATCTGTACGTACCTGGCTATCCAGTCCAAGCAAGAGAAGCATAATAAAAAAGAGAATGGACCAAAACGTGGGCAGCGGCATCATGGTCACAGCTTTTGGGTAGGCAATGAAGGCCAGGCCAGGCCCTAAAGGGAAGAGAAAATGGGGAGGGGCAGAGGGGGAGGCACATCAGCGACCCAGCCCCCCCAGAGCCCCAGAGCTCACACAAAGACACTCGGGACTGAGATGGTGTCCCAAACCCCAAATGCAGGGAGGAACCAGGTGTGAATCCCTGCCTGGGGGAAGAGCCCAGGCCTGCCTCCCTTTTGGATGGGGCGCACTGGGGCTCGGGTGGGGCCCCGTTTTAGCATCTGTCTCCTATGCAGCAGCACAAGTGGCCTCATGGAACCCGGCAGACACCCGTCATTCAGGGCAGGAAGCAGGACTGAGCCTGGGGCTCCGTCTGCCTGCTTGGAAAAGGAGGGTTCCCCCCTCACCCCAAACCAGAGCAACCACGCCAACGTTTGCTGGAAGGAAGCGAAGGGGGAGAGATCTGGTTATCTGACTACCGAAGCCCCCGTTTGCAAAGAAAAGGTTTTGACTTTTGAATTAAAGGACTGAAACAGTGTGTAAGAGTATGGAACCATGCCCTACAGGGCTAACGTCTCTTCGGGGTGCATCTGCGCACCCCACCTGAGCGATGCCAGAGCCAAGGCCCAAAGCTGAAGGGAAGTGTGCTCGGGGCAAGGGCCCGGGCTCGGGAGACCATCCACCATCTCGTCCGCACGTGCCCATGTGGGACCTCAGTGTCCCCCCCCCCCCCGGAAGCAAGGGGCAGGATCCCGGAAACGCCTCCCAAGATGCCTTCGCGTGCTGAGACCACGACCCTCAGAGAGGGGACCCTGACGGAATCTGGAGGCAGGGTGCGGGAGGCAGGAGCCCCGCCGGCTCGGGGCGCACCTTTCTGACTGGAAACATTCCAGGGACCAAAGGAAAAGGCCTCTCATCTCCAGCAGGCCTGAGGGGCGAAGCCAAGGGGAGGAATGGTACTGAGGCCTCTGGGAAGCCTCAAAAAGCAGGAAACAGCAAAAGAGAGGAGGCCTGAAAGGGCCCTGGGCTGAAAAAATAAAGTAAAAAATCCACAACTTAGAGACGCCTGGGTGGCTCAGCGGTTGAGCGTCTGCCTTCAGCTCAGGGCGTGATCCTGGGGTCCTGGGATCGAGTCCCACATCGGGCTCTCCACAGGGAGCCTGCTTCTCCCTCTGCCTGTGTCTCTCATGAATAAGTAAATAAGATCTTAAAAAAAAAATCCACAACTTAAATAATTTAAAAAATTTTTAAAAAGGTCAAGACACATGAAGACAAAAAATGGCTAGAAGGCAGGATATTTGGAACAGGTTATCAGAAACCAAAGGACTGGCTTGAGAGCGGAAAAACAAAACAAAACAAACAAAAACAACTTTAAAATAAATTGGAGCCAGAAACCACACCGAGGGGTGTTAACCACAAGCGTGGCAGGCAGGGGCGGGTCCCTCTCCCCCGCAGAGTCTACCCCATTGAGGAAAATTCGACCACCACCTGGAGGCCCCAGGCGACGCTGTAGAAACCCCACAACAGGTGGAGGAAGGGGCGCTCGCAGCGACCCCAAAGTCCAAGTTGGAACAGAAGCCGCGGGGGCACCTGGGCCAGGGCCCCCGGGGGCCCCTAGGCGGCAGCTCTGGCCCGACTGGTGGGCATCACTACGTGGGGATTCCAGTCCAGCCGACTGCGAGACAGATGTAAAATGGGGCCCCCCGCCCCCCCACCTGCCGCCCCCGCCCCCGCCCCCCGGGGCCTGGTGGAGGTTCTCAATGCGCTCGTTTCTGTATTTCAGTTTTGCCTTTGTCAAGCCAGCCTCTGGGAGAGGGTCTGAGCATCTTGCTCTAAAAGCGCACGGTGAACTAGAGAGAGAGAAGTCCATGTGAAGGAACGCAGCCGCTCCGCGCACCAAGGCAGGCCTCCCCCAGCGCAGAGGGCGCCCCTGCCGCGCCGGTGCACTCCGTTCGCCAAATAATGATGGGATTCAAATGCACTTCGCTCAATGTGGTGCTTGTTAAAAGCTTATTAGAGAAATAATCATCCTTGAAGTGTCAGCTGTTCAGACATCACCGTGGGGAATAAACGACAAGGTCTTTGAAGGGGACAGGAGGAAGAAAACAACTTAGGGTGATGATATATACATATATAAAAACACCTAGTTGTCCACGGAGAAAGATTTTATATGTCAAGATATATATGCGTGTGTGTGTGTGTATATATATACATATATACATATATATATATATATATATATATATCCCACCACCAAATTCACTCCATGCTCCTGGCAATCACAACTGGTTTGTAAGCCCTCGACTGGAAAAAACAAAAACAAAGGCAAACACTCCAGAAGAGCTGCAAATTGTCTGTCTCCCCTCATTGGAATTGTCATGCTCCCAAGTGGGTGTGGACCTTTCTGGAATTACTTTGTGCCCTCACTCTCTGGCCTGGCTCTGGGGTAGGAAAGCTATGTTTGATGGTCTGGTCTGGGACGACTGGGGACAGGGGAGAGATGCGTGGGGTGGACCTGCGGGCTTGCCACACTTGTCCTACGACACAGTGGGTGTGAGGGTAGCAGAGGACATCTTTGCCAAGTGAGGAGGAAAGCAAGGCCCACGGGCTCTGAGGTCAGAGAAGGTCAGAGGAGCTCAGATACGTTCTTACGCGGGGAGGACCAGAGTTGCCACGTGTGTCCAGGGTGGGTGGGGAGGCAGGAGGCGGGGGATGGCCACCTGTCAAAGGGGCCTGTCCAGGAGGGGGAGAGCGCCCTGTCCAGGAGACCCCAGCTCGGATCCTGACCATCCTGAGCAAGGCCCTTGCTCTAAAGCCACTGGTCTCCTCATCTGCAGAACAGATGTCCAAATGCACAATGCTGAGGTTCCCCTGACCCCCAACGCTACGGTTCTGTGGCTGAGGAACCAGGACACCTCCCAGTATCCCCCAAGGACAAGGGCAATGCCATGGCCAGGGCTCCAGCTATGCCTGACTCTGGTCCGTGGTGGTCCCTGGGGCTAGGACATTGGGCTCTCCTCTGGGCCTGAGAGAAGCCTCAGCCCAGGACCCTTGCCTGCCTCCACGTGGCCCCGGGGAGGTCGAGAGAAATCAGAAGGTCGGATGCAGCAGAGGATGTGTACAAAATAACCAAACCTTTCAGGCAGCTGATGACCACCCAGCCAAGTGAATGGGTAGGATAGGAGTGAGGCGGAGAAGGTACAAAGGTGGAATTTGGGGATGCTGGGAGTCTATGGTTCTTGTTCCCATCTCCAAGCCACTGATAACTACAATTTCAGGGACTTAGAACATCCAGGGGCAAGTCCTAGAAAACTGTGGTTCCGAGGCTCTAGGATTCTAGCAACTGCAGACCTCATCGTTTTCAGGTTCCAGAGCCACCTCGCTGGAGATCCAGGATCCCAGCCTAGGATCCCAGGCTTTGCAGAGTCCGTGATGCTAAGACTCTTTGCTCTACTTGCAGAAGGAGCACCCCACCAACAGGGCCCACACCCTGTCCCTCCACCTACCCCCACCTGGATCTGTGGTGTGTCCACTGTCTCTCCCCTACCCGCTGCCTACGGTGGTGCCTGACACAGGGCAGACTCCATTAATCAATAACATCGGTGGAATGAATGAAATGAGTTTGCTAGAGGGAGCGCGCTGGGAGCAAAGTGCAAAATACAGAAACCAAAGCTGAGAAGGTGGTGATGGAATGCCGACTGGTGGCTGGCTTGGGCCTGAGTTAGGAAAGCGGTTTCTGTTGCTGAAACCAGGAGTTTGCTGGGGAAGGAGAGGGAGGGAAGACCGCACAAGTTGCTAAAATATAGTCCCCAACCTAACCAACCCCCGTATTTCTGCTGCCCCTTGGGCCAAACTGCAATGAAAGTGCTTAAGTTTTAGCTTTCGTACTCTTTGATCTTGGGGGACATCTTGGTGGGGGGGGTCCGTTTCGGAAACCAGGCTCGTCCCCCCCCAAAGGCCCCTGGGGTCTGGCTTCATGCCTGCGGTACTCGGCTTACACACTAGGTGGCAGTGCCCACCACCACTGCCACCAATACCACCATACCTGACTCAGCCACATCAGCAATGTCCACCCCTTGCTCTTGTGCCATGAAGCCCAGGATGGAAAAAATTGCGAAGCCAGACACAAAACTGGTACCACTGTTCAGGCATCCCAGCAGCATACAGTCCCTAAGTTACACATATGTCAGGGAGCAAGTTAATTCACAACACAAGGAAGCCACGCTCCCTACTTCTTCTCTTTTTTCTTTAAACATCATCATTTCTAAGGTCCACCAGGCCCGCTGGCGCAACACTTGCCTGTACGAGTTGTACTTGTATTTGTTGTAGCTCCCCAGAGAGGTCATGGCCCCCAGGCAGATGGCATAGGAGAAGAATATTTGGGTCCCAGCATCAATCCAGACCTAGGGGGGTTTGGGTGGGGGTGGCAGGGAGAGAAAGAAGGGGCCGTTAGAGCCAGCTTCCTGGAGGAGACAGGGGTGGGGGGTTCCTGGCCACCTGAAGGACTGCACCTCCAAATGTGCAAATTCTGCAATGAGAGCCTTTGTGCTGGAATTCAAGGTGTCTTTCAAGGTAATACTGAGCTGCAAGGAAAGTGGAAGAAACCCCCAGTCACTCAGCATCAGGATTAAGAGGAAGGACTTATGAAGCAGACGGAACTAAATTCCAACCATTTAATGATTGTGAGCGATAGGACTCCCGCCCAGAGCCTCCGTTGTCACGTCTGTAGAATGGGCTCCACCGCCCTGCCCCACAGCGCTATCACGCAGGTTCTAAAGACTTAGGCCGGTGCAGACACACACGTGGTAAGACTGTTAAGCCAGGGCTGCTATCATTACTGTAATTGCTATTGTCTGGGGGCCCTCGAGTTGGAACGGGGAGGAATTCCCCAACGGATTATGCAGGCAAAGCTGCTCTCCGGAACCTTCACCCAGCAGCTCCTGATGGCCACAGAGCTGCCCTCCCAGCTGTCCTCTGATGTTGGCTAAGCCCTTCCCCCCCACCCCCACCACATCCTGCCTGGGGCAAAAGGGCAGTGGGAAAGAGAACTAGAGCAGGAGGCAACCTGAAGGCTGAGGATCCTCTGGACAAAAGGTCCTCAAATGGGGCCAATTAAACACCACGGGGTGGGGGGGGTGTCTCCAACCTCCTGTGGTCACGTGGCTGAGAGCCAGGAGGTGGGCATTCAGTGTCTGCCCCTCGACCTTGCAAGAGCTCATCCCCAGCTCTGAATCCAGCAGCGCTCGGGGGCCAGCTCTCCCGCCCCCACGATGCGGCCCTCTCCGGCCCTGTGGGCAGAGGCCGGGCCACGGAGGAGCCTAGCTCATGAGACTTCTCCCCCCTTACCTGGCACAGTGCCTGAAGAAGACTATAACTGGCTGGCCTCAGCAGTCTGCGACACGAAAAGACACACACACAGCAGGAAAGGCCCACGAGCACGGAGGATAACCTGCCCCAGCCCAGTGGAGAAGCACTGGGGGCCGGTGGCCCACCTGGATTTGTGTACCAAGGAACCGAAGAAACTGTGCGGTCGGCTTCCCTTCCCCTGCACCCTGCCCTGCCTGCCCTGGGTGGGAGGGGGGACGGGCCGCCCTGCAGTACCTGCGGGTCCTCGAGGCGGCTGATGTCGGGGTACAGATAAAACTTGATGCCTGCGCCTGCACCGGGCAGTGTCAGTCCACGGACCAGCAGCACCAGGAGCATAGCGAACGGGAAAGTGGCCGTGAAGTAGACAACCTGTGAGGGGTGACAGTGATTCAGGGGGGGGCCCATGGCATCAACTGCTGCTGTCAAATTCAAGTGTTCTCCCTGAGGCCAGGGATGTGGAGCCGAGCTCGCTGTTTCACTTGCTGTGTGACCTCCTTGCATATGTTGCTTGACCTCTCTGGGCCTCACTTGCTCCCCCTGTGACGTGGGTATAATACCGGTACCCACCTCACAGATTCACTGAGATTCAAAGCAAACAATCCTAGAGATGTGTACTGAGTATCTAGACCCTGGAAATACAGTGGTGGACAAGACAGGAAACAAACCCCTGCCCTCGTGGAACAGATATTACTGCGAGTGAAGGAAAATGCAAAATAAGAGTATAAACTTTCAAGTGTATGTGTAAAAGGCTTAGCCCAGTGCTTGGTATGTGCCATTATGACTCTTAGTATGACTCTTAGGGTGAAGAATCAGTTAGGTGTGGGTTCAAATCCCAGCTCTGTCCCCTCGCTTGCTGTGTGACCCTGGGCACGACGCTTAACCTCTCTGGGCCCGTTTCCTTCTGTGCAGATGGAAACAACAGTAATAGAAGACCTCCATCAAGAGGTGAGGCGAGGATTCAATGAGACCATCAAAACAGTGCCCGCCACGTAGGTGCCCAAGAAGTGGGGCCCGTTGTAGACACGGATTTTGCAGGAAGCACAGAGGAACTCCTGGGAGGGAATGAAGCCTCTGAAAGTCCCTTGGCCAGGAGACAGGGAAGGCCCCCCACTTCCTTGGGGCTGTGGGAGGCCCTCAGCCTTCCCTGGATCACACGGCACATCCCAGGCAGCCCAAGGTCAATTGGAGGTGGAGACCAGAGATGAGCCAAGCTGGCTGTTCCATCACCAAAGGTCTGCCCTAATTTCCTCTCCTGTCCCCAAAGCGCTGGTCTCCAAACATCCTGTGCCCTCAGTTCTCTTGGATGGATTTTCCCCTATCTTTGCCTTCAACGTGAGGTGTTTCCAGGCAGGGTTCTTGCCTGGGAGGAGCTCAAAGGTGCACGGTTCTGGATGGACGGTGAGATCCTGGTATTTCCGACAGGGCACTGGATGATCGAGGACTCCCCAGGCACAAGCCCACTCGATGCTCAGCACATCCCGCAGATGGGCATGCTGGCCACGGTGTTGAGACAGGAGGAACGGAAGCTCAGCAGAGCTCGAAGACACCCAGGGCCCGGGAAGCTTAAGACCACCTTGCTCTGAGCAAAGGCATGAGGTATTTTACTTGGCCACGGCAGCACATACAGAAAGTTCCTGTTAACCACCTAGAATGCTAAGCCTGGGTCGCAGAGCTGTTGATTCCCTCATCAGGGCCTTGGAGCCCGGGGGACCAGAAAGGAACGACCACGGCCAATGTACCCATTTTACAGGTCAGGAAACGGACATCCAGAGAACAGGATGAATGTGTCCGTGGTGCTGGGAGGTGGGGGCGGTGCCAGCTTACTGCAGGGCACTTCTAGGGCCTGGGCAGGCATCAGGCATCGATGGAGGGTCTGAACCCCACCTCTCTGGCACAGGAACCTAGCTGGAGCACAATTCCCGGACAGAAACAACTAGGAAGGGCCTTTGGAAAAGGGCAAGATGTAAGCTCTCAGGGCCTGCCTGGCTCAGCTGCCCTCAGCCAGTACCACCAACCAGCATTTATTGAGTGCTTACTGTATGCTGGGTACTATTCCCAGTGCAGTAACTTCTATGCTTAGTCCTGCCCTGACCCTTTGAGGCAGGCTGCGTTACGATCCTCATCTTAAAGGTGAGGAACCCGAAGCCCGGAGAGTCTGCTGCCTGCCCACAGGTCACACAGCCCATAGGTGCCTCAGAGCCTGCTTCCAGAGGACAACGGCAGAGCAATAAAAAGCCCCTCCGCGACCAGCAGTTTCTTCAACAGTTTCTAGCAGTTTCTTCCAACGACCACAGGATGGCTGGACCGGAATTCAAGCTCTATGACTGGCTTGCTGGGAGACCTTGAGAAAGTTACAGGCCCTCTCTGGGCTTCATTTCCCCACCTGGGAAGCGAGAGGCTCAGGCCAGATGAGCTTGGAAGCTCCACCCAGCTCCATCGCTCCAGTGGGAGGGATGGGGTGGCAGGGAGGGCCAGCTAGGGGTCACCCAGGCTGGAGTTTGGAACCTACCCTCTGCTACCTCCCAGCTGGGGGGCTTGGCCTCAGCTTCCATCCGTAGGAGGAGGAAAATAAGGGTGCTTACCTCACTCGCCACCCTCAAGAAACAGCAATGAGTACCCTCCTGGCGATCCCATTACGCCAAAGGGCTGGCCTTCCTCCTGCCTGCTGCTGCCTCCCCCACCCCCCACTGCCTTTTCTCCATCTGGGCCTCAGTTTCTCTAGCCACCCCCATTTTCTTCTCCTGAGGCAGAGAACTCTCCCAATCTCTCAAGGACAAGAAGAGGCCTATGTGGAGGGTGGGGGCAGGTCAGGAAGCCCCAGAAGGGGTGAAGGAAAGAAAAAGCAGCATGCCCCCACAGCCGCTCCTCCCTTCCTGCAGACAGCACCCCCCCCAACTGGTTCTCACCTCTGGGCCCTGCCTGGACCACACCCGGAGGGAGGCGGGTGAACAATGTCCCTGACAGCAGGCTGTCCCCAGAGGGCGGCCACTTCAAAGCCAGTTGGGCCCCACTGGGCTGGGCAACCCAGCTCTGGCCAGAGGGCTTTGTGTCAGGGACACAGGAAACCACCCCGGGATGGGGGTGGCTTCCCTTGTTTTTAAACAGTATTAAATCTGTTTAACAAGCACTTAGGTAGCACTTACTGTGTGCCAGGCACTATGCTAAGAGCTTTCTGTGTATTCATGCATTTTTAATCCTCGAGACACCCTGAAGAGGTAGAGACACGTATCACCTGCACTTTCTAGATGAAAAAACAGGCCCAGAGAGGTGACGTCAGATGCCCGGGGTCACAGCGCTGATAGGTGGCAGAGTGGGATTTGATGCGGTCGGCCAGCTGGCTTCGGAGTCTCATCTTTTGTGTGTGTGTGCGCGTGTTATTGCTGATCCTCCCCCGATCCCGAATAGGACAGCCCCACCTGGTCACGCCACCTCATCTGCCTCTTTGGAAAGCCACCCTTGTTTTGCAGAATGTGCTGCTCTGAGGGCAGGCCCCTGAGAGCCATTCTCTCAACTTTTCCATGACTCCCCCGGGATCGTCACGGGAGAGGCTGGTGCCAGCCGCCGCCAGTGGGCCTCTGGTGGTGGCCCAGCAGGCCTTGCCACGGGACATGGTATTTTTCCACTCTTGCTGGCAAGCCTCTGTGGTTCCTCTGAGCCCTTGACCCAAAAGCCCTGTGGCCCAACTGCCCTGGAAACTTGCAAGGACAACTCTTCCTCATTCCCCTAGGGACAGCGGGCAGAGAGTGGCCCACAAGGCAGAAGGGAGATGGGCTCATCTCCTGCTACCGCCACCCCTGCCGCTGCCACCCTGGACTTCCTTTTGGGGTAAAGGCCTGGGCAGCAGGGGTCACTGGGCCCAGAGATGGGAGCTCCTCGAGGTGGGGCCGTGGATCTGTGCCCAGCATCTAGGCAGGCCCTGAGGCCTTCACACCACCCCTGTGTGTGTGTGTGGGGGGGGGGGGTTGCATAACCAACTCATTTCACATAGGGGAGACCAAGGCTCAGAGAGGGAAGGGGACGTTCCCAAAGTCATGCAGCCTATGAGCAAAAGTGAGACCCCAAACCAGGTCTGACTCTGTCCCCTCCACCCCTGCTTGGCTTTCCAGTGCAGGACGGAAGAGCTCTCGATGGAAGGGTACAGCCAGCCTTAGGATGCGTCCCGGCTCCTGTCCATGACCCTGCTGCCCTCTGGGTCCACAGCACCCTGTGTGAGGGTCTGGATTTCTGTCACCTTCCTAGACCTCATGCGCTGTGAGCAAGGACATGCCAGCCTCATGGCCTACTGTCAGGCTGGCCTAGGGGGAGGGTGGGCAGCAGGTGAGGGTGAGGAGGTGGAAGGATACAGGGCCCCGAGGCTGGGAGCGGGACTGCCCAGGTTCAAATCCCAGCTTGGCCACCGACACCTCAGAACACAAGGATGACTGAACGAGCTGCAGCCCACAACACAGAATGGTGCCCTCTGTGCCTGTGCTACACGGCATTTGCCACCATGGTCACTATCTGTCGAATGAACGAAGTCCCTGCATATCCAGGGCCAAGGGTCAGACCCTTGGAATGCTGACAATTACAAAAAAGGGAACTGAGGTCCAGAGAGGCAAAGTGATTTGAACTTGGGTCCTGAGCCGCCCATGCCCTCCATCCATCCACCCCCTGCTGGACTAGTGTCAGCCACTGAAGCAGGGCCAGGGCCAGGATGAGGTCCATCCTGCTGCCCGGGGGCCCAGCCCCCATGGCAGCTGTGAACCTGGTCTGTGGCCAGGGCTGGAAGCCACGGCTGGCGGCAGGCGGGCAGGCAGGCAGGCCATGGAGCTCAAGGAAGTCCACAGAGCCTCACTGTGTTTGTCTTGGCTTCTTTGGGCTGGCCCAGGCTCTGCTATTGTTCTGGGAGCCATGCCTGCCCCTCTGGAGCGTGAGGAGGAGATTGTCTCCAGGGGCGGGGTAGGGTAGGGGGACCTCCGTCAAGTCACGTCTTCAACTGGCCACAGTTGTAGCCTGGTACTCTCTACTTTTCGCTTTGATTCTATCCTCCTGCCCCTTCCATTGTATCTCAAATGTTGCCGACTGTTTCTGGGAAACATCAGCTTCCTCTGTCAGACTGGGGGCTCCCCCATGGGTCTGTGTCAAACATACCTCAGGACCTTTGCATTGGCTGTTCTCCCTGGAAATTTTCCTCCCCCAGATATCCACATGGCTTACCCATCACTTCCTTCAGCTCTGTGCCCCAAAGTCACCCTTCTTGGTGAGCCCACCTGGCCACCCCAATTTAAAGGTGTGCCCCCCAAAAAATGTGTGTCCCAACACCTGTTCCCCTCCACCACAGTATTCTTCAGTCACCAGACTCAAGTCACCATCTAAATCCAATATATTTTACACATCCACCTTGTCACAGACAACAAATCTGTGAGCCCCCGGGCCACAGAGATTTCTGTCTACTTTGTTGCCTCCTGCACATCCCCCCAGCCCTATTCCTACAACAGTACCTGGCGGATAGCAGAGGCTCGAAATGTATAAGAGCGTCAGGAAATGATCCTGCCTCCAGCACTGCTGGGGACGAGTGCTCCCTAGAAACTTCCTGATAAACTCACTGCCATATGGGGAAATGGAGGCATGGTGTAGACAGGACTGCTGTTTACTGCACTGTCTGTGCCAAGCATTGTGCGGGGTGCATAACACACTCGTTTGAACCCTCACCTCCGGCCGTTCTGTAAAACAGGACACCAGGGGCTTGAAGGTGAGGGACAGCCCTTGAACAAATCACTTAACCTTTCCCAGCGCGGCTCTCTCATCCTTGGCAGAAAGGCAGTAAGGAAACCGTCTGTCTGCACACAACACAGAGGAGGGCGCTGGGGCAACATTGGTGAATGAGCACCAAGGCTCGAGGGCCGCTCCCTGCCTCTCCTGGTGGGACAATATGGCCAGGCGGTGCCCAGCTCTCTGAAGCTTCCTTCCCAGACTGGGTTTTAGGATCGCTGGGTGGCTCTGAGTGCAGAAATGGGCAGAGGGCAGAGGCGGTGCAGGCTCCCCCGCAGTCATCCCCATTCTGCCTCTGCCATTCTGGGGACCCAGATCTTGCCCTGAAGTAAATGCTGGGATCTGTTCAGATCCAGGATCTCACTTAAGGGGCTCTTCATCCCGGTAGAAGGCGGTCCTTACTGTAAATTCCAAGGCAGCAGAGGCCTTTCTCTGAGCGACTTCACTCACTGCCTATCGCCGCACCTCAGATGCCACCTCAACGTGCTCTTTTGACCTTTGGAGGCTGTTAGACCTTAGAGATGTCCCCCCTATCACGATGTAAGGGAAATGACAGATGGGAGGAGGAGGCACGTAAAGGCGGATCCAACACCTCCCCGAGATACAGTCTAGAGCCTTGGATGCAGGCTCACACCTCTGATCACCACGGACCCCTCCCCACGGACTTGTCATCATGATGACCGTGACACCAGTCAGTGTCTTGGTTGCCGGGTAACTGTCCTGCTCTAACTTAAGAGGTAATGCTTTAGTTACCAGCTCTCATTTTCATTATTAGAAATATACCAGCTATTCCTAAAACCTCAATTATAAGCTGGCATTTTACCAATCAGCCACCATCTTTGTTAATAGCTAACATCCTAGTTACCGTGTAACATATTAATAAATCAGCCACAAATATTTCAGTGATGCCTAACATTTTGGTTAACAACTAACATCCTGGTTATGAGCAAATGACTTAATATTCAGCGAAAGCTTTCCTTAATAACTAATGTCTTAGTTTCCAGCGGAAGCGTTAGCTGTCAGATAATTCAGCTCATCTGACTTAGCAAAGCTCCCAAGTCTGTGTTTCTCAAACCTCAATGTGGGGATACCGTTCAAATGTGGGTTCTGGCTGTGCAGGTGTGGGGCAAGCCCATGGATCCCTATTTCTAACAAGTTTACAGGGGATGCTGATGCTGCCAATCGGGGCACGCTTTGCAAAGCAAGGGTCTGTGTAGTTGGTGAATAGCTGGTAACTAACAATAAGTTGCCAGCTCACCTTGCTACCAGCTCACCTTGCTACCAGCTAACTTAGCAAAGCCAGTGTTTGTTATCGACTAACATCTGCACCACCACCGAACACCTTCAAATGGGAACCAGTGGTGTATGGGAGCCTGTGCAGGCTCCAGAGAGCCCACCATTTGATTTTCAGGAATTTTGTTGGCTAGTTGTTAAACCATCGGTAACTTGAAATCAGACATGGTAGGAGTTATTTGCCCCACGAAGTGGGCAAATGCCACAAAGCACGGCCTTATTTTCTTTCAGCATATACCAGTCTTTGGTCTGAGCCGGTTTCAAGCAGGAGGGCCTGGGGGGGGGCTAAGAGGAGATTTTTCCCATGAGGCAGTGGAGGGTCAGAAGCACAACTCACCTTCCCCGTGGACTTGACACCCTTCCAGATGCAGAAGAAGCAGACCAGCCATACAAGGAGAAGGCAGAGAGCAAGGTCCCACTTCAAGGAGCCAGGGTCGTCAATTCCAGAAGACAAGCTCAGCACGTTGCGCCTTCAAGCAAACAGAGCCACATGGTCAGTTGGGCCAGCCCCAGGGCAGAGAGCGGAGGCCAGGGCTCCAACGGGCTGGGGTTGAAACCCTGGCTCAAGTGCTGTGTTTCCACAAGCCCCCTCGCTTCTCCAAGGCCTGGAATCCCCATGGATCACCAAAGCAGTGCCCGCCTAGGTCACAGGGTTGTGGAGAAGTCAACAAGGGGATAGATTCAGACTCCTGCGTCAGGTGAATCTGGGTTTAACCCAGCCTGGCCTTGCGCAAGTTTAGTATACCCCCAAGCCTCAGTTTCCTCATCTGTGAAATGGGCACTAATTCCCATGTGATTGATTCTCAGTGGACCCTTCTTCACTACCCACTGTGGGCCAAACCCCAGATTCAAACTTGGCTCCACTATGTTACCTAACCTCCAGGACCTGAGTCTCTTCATTTGTGAAACACTCTCTGTCCCATCCTTCTTTGATTCTATTCACCTCCATTTCTTATCTGGATTTCCACTAAAATGTAAGCCTCAAGAGGGCAAAGTGTTTGTTCTTCTGTATGTGGCTGCACAGTTCCTACCCACCTACTTATGGGATCGCTGTCAAGAGAAAACCCGCACAAAGTACCAACCACAGGATCTGGGGTGCAGCCAATAGGGAGTAAACCTTAGCGGTTGTTTCCATTCTGGCCTTGAGATGCCCAGAGCAGCTCCGAGCAAACTCTCTGCAGGGTTGTGAAGGTCTCACAGGAGGAGGCAGGTAGACAGTTTGAAGGCTAATCTAATCAGCACAGGGCACCCACCACCCCTGCCTAGAGGCTGGGTCTTTGGAGTCCAAGAACCTCGCTGACGTGCAGAAACGCATATGAGCACCTACTCAGACACATCCCTGAGGGGCATGTGAAGTCATCTGAAGTCAGGGTGGGGCAACACAGGGTGCTGGCAGCCAGAAGCCACAAAACTCCATGCCAAGAAACGGTCCCCATTGTCCCAGAGCTCTGATAATGCAGCAGTGACCAAGGGCGGCACACCAGGCACAGCACTCGAGCAGGGTCCCCGGTCCACTGAATCCCCCAGCTGCTGACCATGGGAGCAAGGGCGCTTGTGCTGCCCTGGAAAAAGCTGGGAATCCTTCTAACCAAAGTCAGCTCCTGGTTTCAAGGCCATACACCAGCCCAAGAGGCAGCAGAGAGGGAGTGCGACTTTGTGCCCTGGTTTCCTCTTCTATAAAACACAAACAACAGCTCCTGTCCTCAGGCTGCCGCCCAGGAATGCCTTCCAGATGATTCCCTAGCTCCCAGCCAGTTTGTGGGAGGTTTCCCATGGTCAAGGCTCTGGGTCTCAGAATGAAGCACCAGGACGCTGCATTGCTTTTCCTTTTTTTTCCAGAGAAGCTTCAACATGAGGACTTTGAATAAAACCCAAGATGCCTATCTCAACTGGCATCCAAGTGAGGCCTTTCTTTGGGCCAGGGCTGTGCTCCCAGCACCAGAACAGCACATGGCACATAGCGGGTCCTCAAGAAATACCCGTGGAGTGAATGAACCAAGGACTCAGTCAGTTGAGGTGACGGGCAAGTCCACACGGCACTCTGAACCAATTCATGAAATAGTTCCAGTAACCTTAGAAAGGGCAGCATTCCTGTCCTCGCGTGGGGGAGCCCTGACATCAGGGGGCTCCCCTCTGGCACCTCTGACCACCAGGTGCTCAGAACACCCCCAAGGCCTCTCCGGTTTATCTCATCTGATCCACAGAGTAGAGGTCATTGGCCCCATCTATAGATGAGGAAAACCGAGGCCTGGAAGAGTCAACCGTCCCCAGACACGTGGCCAACGGGCGGCAGAGTTCCCACCTGCACCTTAGCCTGTCAGACTCGAGAAGCCAGTGCTCTGTGGACCCCACCACCACCACTCCACCGCTGTCTGCTCCTCTGATAAACAGAGAAGAGAGAATAGAGCCCAAATTTTAAAAAGACTGCCCAGTCCCCGCTATGGGTCAGGGTCCCCTGGAGCCTCAAGCAGGGGGCATCCCCAGGAGGCAGGCTGTCCGCCAGCCGCATCCCGGCTGGGGCCCTGCCAAGCACGTGGGTCTGGCGGCTGCAGCTGCTTTAGAACAAAAAGCCCTTCCCCGTGCAGCCTGCAGAGCTCGGCACCTTCAGTGAAGGTCCAGGGCACCCGGGCAGCGGCCCAAGGCTTCCCGGTGAATGGGCAGCGTCGGGGGGAGAGAGTGCCCTTCCACCGCCACACCTTGGCGGCCTGCGCCCCGTCCTCGTGCTTCCAGAGAGCCTCTCCGGCCGCTCCCCGCACAGCCCACTGGCTCCCTGCGGGTCCTCCGGGCCATCGGCTGGCACCGCACGTCTCCTTCAGGTGGAAAGCCTGTCCAGCCAGCCTGCAGACCGCGGGGACCAGGAGCTCGGGGGCAGGCCCACCGCAGGCGCTGCCCATGCTGAGCAGGTGCCCAGCCTTTCTCTCCTCCTCAGGGCAAGTGGGCCGAGAAGCCTGAAACTCCAGGGCTCCGAATCTGGCCACACCAAGCCCGGCCTCCTCCCACTCCTGTGCTGGGCAAACTGGCGGCGTCCGCGACAGACGGCAGGCGAGCTCTGGGCAGCTGACCAGCCATGGAAGGCACGGCAGGGAAACCGAGGCTCCCTGCTGGCCCCGATCTCCGTGTCAGGGCTCACGGCACCTCCGGGGACGCGGGGAGGCATGTTCCCTGTGGCCCAGCAACGTCCACTCCCGGGCCTCTCCCGGGCCTCCTGTCGTGTGGGCAGCTGACCAGGGTGGGGGGGTACCCCCGGCTGCTGACCACGACGCTGTCGGTAGGAGCGAAAGACTGGAAACCGCCCAAACGGCCACCAACGGGGCCCAGCAGGCCCCGAGAGGACACGCAGTGGAACGCTCCGCGGCCCCCCGAGGCGCGGGAAAGCTCCCTGCGTGCAGATAAGGGACGATATCCTGGAGATAAAATAAGTGAACAAAGCAAGGTGAACAGCGGCTTGTGGCATGCTCCTCATTGTGTTAAAAAGGGAAGGGGGTGGATGTACATTTGTGCTTGAGTGCGCACAGACTATTTTTGGCAGGACATACAAGACGCCGGTTGCAGCGGCTGCCCGTGGGGAGGGGGACCTGGTGGTGGGGACGCGGGGGAGGGGAGCTCCCTTGGCATTAGGTATCATTTTCCCTCCTTGAGTGTTTTTCTCTTTGAATGTTTGATGTTTTTAGATGAATGACTCAACGTTTTTAATAGCACCTTTATAAAAATTATTTAAAATTCTTGAAAATGTTTGTAATGGGCCGTGCAGACGTTCTAGGAATGGAATGAATGTGTCTCATCCATCAGGGGTTGTCAAAACAGAGCCTGACGACGTGGGCCCAGGGCCAAAGTGACTGGCATCCTTTCCAAAGATATCTTTTGGGTAGCCGTGGAGGCCGGAGAGCGTGTGCGGCCATCTGAATCTTTTTTTTTTTTTTTTTTTTTCTGAAGGGACCCAGTGCAAAGGACCCTCCACAAGTCCCTCCCATGTGGGGCTCCCATGGCCTCAGCCACAGAGCAGCAGGCAGGGATCCGATGGGTGTTCCCGCTGTGGTGCATGAGAGGGCTCAGCAAACTACAGAGTGCTGTGCCCCAGAGGGACAACCATGGTGCACTGCCCCTCAGCGGTCTCCCAACCACCCCAGGAGACTGCATGTGACTCCAAATCCAGCCACATGTCCCCAGCACTGCCACTACTCGTGTCTGGACACCCGCCCTCCCATGGCTTCCCAGAGCTTTTTTAGTGGCTTCCCCACTTGTCTTCCTGCCTCCACAGTCACCCTCCCCTAAGTCTGTTCTCATCAAGAGAGAATCTGCCCAGACCCAAGGCGGGTCACACCCCTCCTCTGTTGCACATCCTCCCATGGCTCCCACCTACCTACCTCACAAGGCCCTCCTAACCTGCCCCATCCCTGTGGCCTCCCTGAATAAGGTGACCAAATACTCTCATCATTCAGACCGATTAATAAGGACACTGAGACATAGGTATATAAATGGGGCATGTCCAGGACAAGTTTATGTACCCTGAACCTCATCCCCATACGGCCCCTTTAGACAGTGGTCTTCTGAGATTTTCTCTGAATAGACAGCACATTCCTGTCTCAGACCTTGAAACTGGTTGTTTCCTCAGTCACTTGTTATATGACATGCCAACCCCCTCCCTACAGCATTTCAGGTCTCCACTCAAATGCTAGTTCACTGGGGCAGCCTCTTCTGACTATTGTATGAAAAAAGCATCCCCGGTCACTCTCCCTCCCCGGCCCTGCTTTTATTTTTCATCATTTATCATCGCTTTTATGTGACGATTATATTTGTGTTACCTGTTTAACATCTGTCTGTCTTACTAGAACGGCATCCCCATGGAGGCAGGGCCTATGTCTGATCGCTGCTAGATCCAGAACAGTGCCCAGCACATAGTAGGTGTTCAACAGACAGTAACTGAGTAAATTGATGAGACCCATTTGGTGGATGGGGAAACTGAGACTCAGAATTCACCTGAAATCACCCAGATGAAAATCAACCCTGGGCCTGGATCCCTTTTCCTGGTGCTGCCCTGGGGACCAGCCATCCGTGTGCTAGGTCCTACGCTGCCCTTCGCGAGGACCCTCAGAATCCCAGGCTCCCCTGCATCGCTCATACAGAGGGAGGAGACCCAGAGGTGAGCTGCATTCTTGTCCAAGAATAGTAATGATTCATTCCAGGGTGGGATCCAAAAAAGAATCGCCTGGACGTCTGTTGTGAGTCGGCCGCCCTGCTGCCGTCCAGCCGGCACTCAGAGATGTAAATACGTCCTCCGAGTGGGCCAAATCGTTTCCTTTTGACTGCCGGCCAGCCATTTATTGGCCATGGCTCTTCCCTGGAGACTGGCGGAGGCAACAATTATAAAAGAGCCCGTCCGCCCTGAGCATGGGGCCACACAAGGCTTTCTCCACCGCCTCCTCCTTCCGACAGCTGCAGGGGAAGATTGGCTGAGCACCGCTTGTTTGCAAATATGACTCATTTCTTTGATTCTAATAAAGTCTAATGATACGTGCTGAGCTCCCGGGGGGCTTGGGAGGAACCAGGGAGGAAGGCATGGCTCCGGCCTGATGGAGGGCATTTGGCCAGATCTGGCCCCGCCTGTCTTCTAGGGCTGAGGTGAAGCAGGACCCTGGGGACGGAGCGAGGACCCCAGAGCAGGGACGAGCAGGATGAGGTTAAGCGGGGGCAGAAGCTCTGTTTTCCATCACAGAGCCACTCAGAGTCAAATTATCAAGCCGGCGTGAAATCACTGTCTCAGAGGCCCCGGTGGCTTCCAAGGGGGTCTGGATGAGGACATCTCACCAGCTCCTGCTGACAGTGGTGCTTTAGCATTGCAGATGGGGTGGGCATGGGGGGCCAGGGAGGCTCCATGCCGAGGGAAGACCTCGCGCGACCTGAGAATGGGGTGTCTCTCTCTCTCTCTCACACATACACACACACACACACACACACACACACACGGCATGATGTTACCAGTGACCGTGGACACAGACGTCGGAGGTGGCGTCTGGTGTCAGGAGGTGAGGGCTGGGAGCTCTGTTGTATCTAGCTGCATGTGTAACCTCGGGCAAGTCACTTAACCTCTCTGGTCCTCAGTGTCATACCCAACGAGCCATGATTGGAGGCCCTGTCCTTAACACATCACTTGTCTTCGCCCTTTAAATCGAGCCAGACTATGAGGTGTTGGGACCATGCTATCCTCAAGGTTTAGAGAGGTGAGGTGACCATCCTAAGGTCACGCAGCTGGGAAACGCAGAGTCCAGAGGCAGTCAGTCTCCCTGCTCTAAGGGACCTGGAGCATCACCCATGCTCCCAACTCTCTCTTCTAGTAAAACGAGAGAGGGAGAGGGCGAGCAGGGGTGATCAGTAAATTCCTTCCCCGCCTGGGGCCAGAGGCAGTCTTGCTATCATGATGCCTTGTTATCTTGATTCCCAGGGAGCTCCCAAACACCCAACAGGCATTGTTCTACCTCAAGGATCCACAGGTCTGCTGCAGGTAAGAGAAGCAGAGAGAAACTACGGCTGGGGCTGGGCCTGGGCTTTGGTTGGAGGGGCATGGAGACCAGCCTTCTGAGAGTATCCGCACGGCTCTGCAGCCCAACCTGCTACCAGTCAGTGACACCTCAGTAATGTCCCAGTGAGCCTCTCCGAAAGGAAACCCCAGAGCTAGTCAATTATAGGGCTGCTAGCTACTTTCAGGGGAAACCATATAAGCCGTTTCACCCCAAAGGGAACTCAGACCCACTGATGGCTAAACTCTCTGAAGCCCTCCATACAGTTGGTACTTAATGTATGTCCTAGTCTCTCTCCCACTAGTGTATTCCTTGAGGGTATCCAAAAAAGACATTTAACCATGTCACTCTCCTTCTTGTATACCTTCCATGGTTCCTCCTCCTTTGACCTTTGAGAACAAAGCTCCAACTTACCAGGCTAACATTCAAGGCTTCAAACCTTCCCCCAGCCCCATGTGTCCTACGTCTGGGCCAGACTCATGACTTACTATTCCCAAACACTTGTGTGTTCAGAATGCCATGCCTCTGCACAGGCTGTTCCTTCTATCCAGAATGTCTTTTCTCTCTCCGGTTCAGCCTAGTGAGCTCCTATCCATGCCTCAAAACCCAACTCATACGGCCTTTCCATTTGCAGATGAGGAAACTCAGGCCAGAGAGGGGTCGTTCACTTGCTGCTCCAGGCTACACTGTCAAGTGGATGCAGGCATGGAATCAGTAAGAAGAATCAGCATTGGGTGAGCACTCATCGTGTTGAAACACTCTCACCTAATCCTCTCTGGCTGAGTGAGATATAAGAAAAGCCACAAGAGGATTCTGAGCTGCAAAATGTCATGCATGGATTCACAGTTGACTCCAAAGCTGCAAAGTAAGGTGGAGGGAGGAAAGTTCAGGGCTGCGGTCCAGGAGAGTGATGATGGGGGTCCCACGGAGGGTGGGAGGTGGGGGAGGGCCAAGTGGGGACAGTGGTCATACTCTGGGAGAGCCTAGAGCACCTGCGACCTGGATGGGAGATTTGAGGCGGGCAGGAGTTTGGGTGGATTCCTATGTATTTCCCTACTTGAAGGGATTCCATGAAGATGAAATACAAATAAGAGAGGCAAGTCCCTGGCATGACATTCATGGGAGCCAGCTACTCCACAGTAGCTCTCTTTCCTTTTCCCTCTTGCATATGCAGGAGAATGGAAGGCTCTTGAAGGCCAGGGACTGGGAACTGGGCCCTTCTTCCCCGTAGGCTGGCCCAGAGCTGCACTGCATTGGAGCCCCCCGCCTGACTCACAGGCCTCTGCCTCCGCTCGTGCAGGGGCCAGGCCTGGTCTTCTCAACTAAGTCTGCATTCCAGGCACCTGCTCTGTAGACCCCAGTCCTCCCAGGGTTCCAGAAAGAGGGCGCGTTATTTGTGGATGTCCAGGTGGGCTCACCAAGCTCTGCTAGGACCCAAAGGCTGGAGTGGGAGGTGAGCCCCAGGCAGGCGGCTAGCGCCCTGTGGGCTAATAAGCAAGTCCATCTGGATCCTGTGGGCCCAGGCTGCCTGATTTCCAAGGCTCCCAGGCCAGGGAGGGCAGCTTGGGCACTCAGAATGGGGATTCTGCAAGGCAAGGAGCCCCGAGACCCCTCAGGAGGGCTGAGTGTAGGGGACAGGCAGGAGAAAAGGCATGGGAGAAAACGGGACCCCCCGAGGACCTCATGGTTCACAGGGGCTCCTTCCCAAGAGTCCTCAGGCCTATGAGAGCAGAGAGGAGCAAGAAGGACAGCCCTCTGCGATGGTGGGGGCCAGGGTGGGCCCTCCTTCTGATGGTCAGGTCACTTGAGTTCCAAATGCCCCCAGAAGGCAGCTTTACCCACTTGGAGAGCACTAAATAAATAATAAGGCCACACATTTCTCAAGCAGCTTCTCAGGGCTGGCCATACATAGTCTCATTCAGTTAGGGCAGCTCCACAACCCTGGGAGGGCAGTGCCATGATCCCCTCAAGTACAGGTGAGGATATTTGGGGCCCAGAGGGGGCCCCAAAGCCTGCCCAAGCTACAAGGGACAGACTCGAAGGGTCAAACCCAGGCAACCAATCCATATGCCTGAAGCAGCAAGGTCCCAACAGGAGCCCAAGTGGCTGGTTGAGTGCCAGTGCCCTGGGAAGGGTGGGTGGTCAGGCTGTGCCAGGAACAGCCTAGAACAGACAGGGCTGTGGCTTCAGGCCCCATTCAAGTGAGAAGAATGAAGTGCCCACATTTCTTTGTCTGAAAACTCAGCTCTCCAGAGGGTGTGGCATGGAGGGGGTGATGAATGTGCTTGTAATGCACTCTTTGTCTGCAAGTGGAAAATATGTACACACAAAGAGCCCCTGTCCAAGGAGGCCTCAGGACTCATGAGCATAGACCAAAGGCTCGCATGTCAAGATAGGGACAGGGACCCCCTTGAGTGACCCTTGCCTGCCTAGGATTTCCTGGTCCCGACCCTCAAGCATGGCTGGGACCAGCCAGCAGGCCACCCTCTGTCCTGTGGGTTTGTTCCTGGTTCTAAGACATGGGAAGACCCTCAGAAACGGCAAAGCTAATACAAAGAGGAGTACTGTCTCATGATGATGAGGGACCTTAAAACAGTCTCCTGCTCCTGGCTCTCTGCCTCCAGTTATCTCCAGGATCATGGGGTCACACAGGTTCCCAAGTTTAGTAGCTCATGAAGAGCAGAGAAAGTAATGCATAAGTGCTTTTGTGATTGGCCTCCAAGCACCGTGTTCAAAGGACTCCCCTGTATATCAGCTAAGAGTCACCCACACTTCAGGTTTCCACATGCCACCTTCCTGATGTCTGTTCTATGTCTATGTTCCTGTAGCCACTGACTACGTGGTGGTAAACCGTGGAAATGGCCACAGTTCTCCACCTCTCTCCTAAAGATAGAGAGCCTTTCTCCTCACCTCTTGAGTCTGTGGCTTCCTTTGGCTGATGGGACATTAATGAAAATGATGCAAACAGAGAACTGAAAAGAACTCCCGCAAGGGGGCTCTCCCCTTCATAGTTTGTGGAATGCTGGGTCGCCCATGAACAAGCCTGGGATGGCCTGCTGGGTAATGGGCCCATGTGGACCAGTTGCCCCTGGCACCCCAGCCAATAGCCAGCTAATCCCCAGAAGAGCTATCCTGAAGTCTTACAGCCGACCTACCCGTGAGGGAGCCTGGCAAACACCGGAAGAACTGCCCAGCTAAGTTCAGCCCAAACTGCCCATCAGCAGAACCACGAGCCAGAGAAATGGAGGTTGTCAAAAAAGACACCAAGTCTAGGGGTGATTGTTACACAGCAAAAGCTAACTAATGCATATTTTTCACTCTATCGACTCACCTGGTCACTTGAGTAACTACTTCAGCTTCGTATACGCATTTTTCTCTGTACAATAACAGGTTTGATGTGCTAACTATATTTTGTCTAAAATACATTAAGAAAACTATATCATTTTCAGACAACAGAAGTACATATACCTGCGTATGGGTGTAGTAACGATTCATTCCCCTCATCTGACAGTTAAAGAAACTGAGGCTCAGAAAGGGGCAGTGACTTGCTGAAGGTCAGTCAGTAAAATGGCAGAACTGGGATTCGGTTCCAGGCCTGTCTGAGACCAAAGGCATGGATTTATCTCCAAATCTGCACCCTCCTGCTGCCCACCACCCACCCCGAGATTGTGACTCCCACATCCCTGGGGAGATGAGGGAGTAGGCTGTCCTCTCTGCCCCCACCCAGGCCCTCCCTCCTTCCTTCCTTCAGTGAGGCCAGCCTTACTCCCAGAACTCGGTGACAGGAGAAGTGAAGTTCTTGGTGCTGAGGGTGATCCACAGGCTTTTGTTCTTGCGCATCGTGTCTTCCATACACTGAGGCGTATTCCAGCTGTGGTTGCAGTGTGCCCAGGGCAGCTCCGATTGGAAGGACTGGAACAGGTAGTAGGTGGCCCAGGCCAGGATGATGACATAGTATATATTCAGGAGGGACACGATCACGATGGAGGCATAGCCGATGCCTGTGGGTGTGGGCAAGCAAGATGAGCATCAGAAGGGAGGCCGGGTCCACCATGGCCACATCGTCAACCCCACTATCCCTAGGCCTGGGGCCTGAAGGAGCCCTTCAACAAGGACCAGCAAATATTTGTAGAATGAATGGACAAGTGAAAATAATGGATGGTGTGATAAGCTGGATGAATGGAATAATATATAGAGGAGGGATAGCTCAATGAATGGATGGCTAGATGAGTAGATGGATGGATGGATGGATGGTTGGTTCGAAAGATAGTTGGATGGATGGATGTTGAACTGATGGATGGATATCCAATTTGTTGATAGGTGTACAGATGGTGGTTGGTTGGAAGGTTAGGTAGATGACTGGATGGAGGAATGAGTAGATGGGTTGCTGGAAAGATGGATGGCTGGTCTAACTATTGACAGATGGAAGAAAGTTTATGGGATAGATGCACAGATTTATATAGATAGATAGATGAATGAATGAAGAGACCCACACATCCTCCCATCTCTGCCAACTATAGTCATAACAGGGATGATTTTATGGGTGCCAACTAGGTATCAGGCACAGGACTAAATGTTACAATAATAATAAAGCTACCATTAATTTGGAGCTTACTATGTATACAAAGCACTTTTACAGTGGGCAGCCCTGGTGGCTCAGTGGTTTGGCACCACCTGCAGCCCAGGGCGTGATCCTGGAGACCCTGGATCGAGTCCCACGTCAGGCTCTCTGCATGGTGCCTGCTTCTCCTTCTGCCTGTGTCTCTGCCTCTCCCCGCCGCACCCCCCCGTCTCTGTCTCTATGAACAAATAAATAAAATATTTTTAAAAAAGCACTTTTACAAAGCTATGTCATTTTGTTCTCCTAGCGACCCTATGAAGCAAGCACACTATTTCCATTTTATAGATAAGGAGACTGAGGCACAAAGAGATTAAGTGACTATCCCAAGTCACATGAGTTTGAACAAGAGGAGGAAGTGGGACTTGAAACAATACAGACTCCTGAATTTGAGTGTTCATCTTCTGCACTACATTGCTGGGCAGCTGCTAGCTCATCAATCCTTCAATGACCCAGAAAGGTGAGAACAGCCAGGACGTACTGAGCAGCTACTGTGGGCAGCAGCATCACAGAATAATGTACCAACCGCTACCTTGTGTCAGGCCCAGTGCCAAATGGACTGGTGTGAGGGTCCGATGTACCTGGCAAATAGCAGGTGCTCAATAAAAATTTGCTGAGCTGATGAACACTGGGCCCCAGGTGACCTTTGTCTCATACTCACCGGAGAACAAGGGGCAGATCTTTTCCCAGCAGGTGATGCCTCCTTCAGAGGTGTACTGGCCTATGATTACCTCTAGGAAGAACACAGGCAGGCCGCCGCCAAACAGGAAAATAAAATATGGTATGAGAAATGCACCTGCAGAGAGAGCAGAGTGGGGTGAGGGTCAGGCTGTGGCTGTCACGGGGGCCGCTCCCAAGCCCTCCTGACCAATGAGATCCAAGAGAATGAGTGAGGGACAGGACAGATAAAGGCCAAATTCCTGGACCTGGGTGAAAATTCTCCAGGCCTTGCCCAGCTGTCCAGCTGACATCCTTTCCAGTGGGCCTTCTCACCTCCAAATCCACCAGGTGCTTTTATCAGCTCTGAGCCTTTGCTAAAGCTGTGCCAACTACCTGCCTGCCTTCCCCACATCCATCCATCTCAAATACGACCTCACTGAAGCCCTCACCCCGAACTTCCCAAGGCCCGCTCAGGGCAGGCAGCTAAGAACTAGCAAGGAAGGGTACGGTGATAAGAAGCAAGAGGTGGGCATTGGCTGGGGGTGGGAGCCAGGGGAGAAGTGAGGGCAAAGAGCCGGGGTGAGGGTTCCTACCTGTGTCCACTAATGGCTTCAGTGGGTCCATAAACCCTTTGAAACTGTGGGCAACTTGGGTCTATGGGTATGCTTTGTTCTGGGGAGCGTCTAGGGCACTCATCAGAGTCCCAAAGGCGCCTGAGACCTACAAAAGGTTAAGAAACCAGGCTCTAAGGCAGAATTTCCCAAAAGGTGGTTCTCTGAACTTGGGCGGCAGCAGCATGCCATCTGCTGCCATACAAGCCTCTGACTGCGGCTGTCCCGAGTGCTGAGCCCCTGCCTGAGGCTCTTCAAGCCCTCTCCTGAACCAGAGAGAATGTCTCTGTCATGTGCTACCCGACTTTAATACCTCCAACAGGAGAGGATTCTAGCTCAGAGCCTTCAGCAGGTAAAAATAAAAAACACCCACAAAAGCCAAAAGCAAAACAAAACAAAAAAACCCCACCGAAACCAAAAAACCCAAACCAGCCAACTAATCAGTCAGACAGGGACTTTACATTTTAAAAAATGGTCTTTGAAAGTGGTCAGTCAAAAGATACAAACTTCAAGGTGTAAATTCTGGGGACATGGTGTACAGCACGGTGACTATAGTCAAAGTGTTGTGCTACATACTTGAAAACTGCTGGGAGGGTAAAGCTGAAATCCTCATCACAAGAAAAACAGTTATAACTATGGGAGGTGATGGAAGGTAATAGCATAGTGATCATTTAGCCATGTACACATGTATCAACTCCTCACATTGTACACCTTAAACTGGCACATGTTATATGGCAATTACATACAACGGGAGCAAAGTTTTAAATTAAGATGGAAGAACTAAAAATAGCTTCACTGTATTTTTTTTTTCTCCTGGATACCTTTCTAATCAGGGCCAGTGATAATGGTTTTCCATTTATGAGGGGACACAAAGCCTGTTTTTGTACCTTTGGATTAAGTTAGAAAAAGCCAGAGCAAAGGCACATGGACGGGGCAGGGTTTGTGAAGGGGACGTGTGAATGCCTGAGGCCTGGGACCCAGGGCCTGGCCTCACTGCCTCTCTTCCGAGGGGATAGACCAGAGAGTCAGAGGGAGTCAGGAACCTGCCGGAGGTTGCACAGTAAGACCCTGGCAGGGTATCACTGGACTCTCGGTCACGTTCAGTTCTTGCCTCTGAAGTGAGCTGGGCTGGGGCGGGCAGGCGGAGGTCCGGGGGGCGGGGGGGCTGGGAAAGCGGGGTACAAAGAGGCCCCCACGGGCTGGCCCCTCCCTCTCTTCCATGACCACTCGCTCCCCTGCCCACACTTACCTCCACCATTTTTGTAGCAGAGGTATGGGAACCGCCAGACGTTGCCCAAGCCGACAAAGCCACCAGCCACAGAGAGCACAAAGTCGATCTTGCTGGACCACTTCTCCCTCTGAGGGGGCTTCCCCTCAGCCTCATCTTCAGGCCGGGTGCCTGGGCTCTTCCCTGGGGATGGCTTCAGGATGTCTTTGTGAAAGTCTTTCAGACACTGCAACTTCTCCTTGGTGGCCATGTCCTCCTCACTTTCTGCGGGGGACAAAACAGAAGCCCACGTGCACTCAGTAAGGGGTGGCCTGCTGTGCGTCCTTGGCACATCTCTCTTCTCACCCATGGGTTAGCTCCGACCAGCCCAGGCCTGTGGTGAGGGGCCTGCCTCCCGTCTGTCCACTGCTCTGACAATATCCTGAGTGATTCGGGCCCCTCTAGGGGATCAGCGACCTCAAGATTCGGGAACTGATGGGCTCCATTCCCCAGCCACATGCTGAACAGAGGCACGGGAGCCCACGTCTGTCGGCTCCAAATGTCACACCTCATTCTGCCCCTGCAGAGAAGCATGAGGCTACCCCAACCCTGGCATCATCTCTACGAAATGTGACACACTCCGGGCAATTCTAAGAAAACAATGGCTCCCATTTCTTTCAAGGCTCAGCACAGTGCCTGGCCACAGGAGGTGTTCATTCTGAGCTTTGAAAGAATGGGTCAATATCAATGAATAAGGAATGGGGTTTCAGGCTGGAACAGAAACAATATTTGAAAAGGTTTCCATCAGAGTATGGAAAATGGAGGCTTATGAAATATATTTGCAAGTCATTTACCAGTCACATCTCTGCAGCATAAAGCATAGGGATTTGCACTGTGAGCATTATGGAGGAATGTCAGTGAATCTCCATTTGTCCATCCCCCCATCCACCCTCTGGCTTGCTCTAACCCCTGTACCATCCAGGCTCCCTTGCCCTCTCTCTGTGACTCCCTGTTGGGTTCAGTAATGGAAGGCCCCAGAGGAGGTGACACCTCCAAGTTGCCAGGAGCTGTTCAGGATCACCCTTTAGCCCACCCCTGCTTGGTCCCACCTTAGAGGAAGGCTGCCACCAGCCAGGCCAGAACATCTTCCTCTACTTCTCAGATCCCTGAGTCCTAACCACCCGCATTCCCACCTCGGTCCTGAGGGCAAGAGCACCCTGAATCCCAGCCCAGGGGGAGAAGGGAGACTTTGAGGGTTGACCCCCACATGGCGCGGGGCCGTGGAAGACGCCTGAGCTGGGGGTGTCAGAGCTAGTGGGCCTACTCCACCCATCTCTGAGCCTCAGTTTTATCTGCAGAACAAAAAGCTGGAAAGCAAAAGTGACCAACTCATAGCCAAACAGCCTGGGGCACCGCTTGTCTTTATGATCCAAACTGGTGGCCAGCAAGTAACAGAGAAAAGTGGAGTTTTCTAGGTTTCCTCAAGACACATGAAGGGCGTTGAGACACCCTGGGTTCACACTCCTTGAGGGAACTGTCAGTTGGACCCAGTGTGTCCCCATCTCCCGGGCACATCTGGGCCTGCCTGCCACCTGGCTCACAGGACATATCCAGTGGGGGTTTGAGTCGGCTTCATCTAAGGGCTTAGCACTACCTGACAATGTCTTGTTCAAGTCCTTGCTTCCTTGTGAACAGTCTCCCCCTCGACAAAAACAGAGGCTCCATGGGGACAGGGATCATCCACCGCCATGCCCAGAACCTGGACTGCAGGAGGAGAACTGATGCATAGATGGTCCCCAGGGTGGGGTCTACAAGCCACTGCTGCTCAATATAAACTCCAGCTCCGTCCCCAACTCTGTGACACCAGCGATGTCTCAGCCTCTGCGCCCTGCATGGTGGAAGGTGATGGTCTGGGCAGGCCGAGGTGGGGGCTGCCGGCGGCCCTGGGGTGTGCACACAGAGGATGCGCTGGCCTGGCCCCAGCAGCTGGGCCCACCGGGGCCTTGCTCTGAGGAGCAGAGGCAGAAAAGCACAACAGAATCCCCATTTCCCCCACGCCTCCTTCCTCTCCCTGGCTCGGGGTGGGGGACCCCGATTGTTTTGCTATCTGGCCATGAGCAGACCAAGAAAAGGCTTCCTGGAGCCGCCAGGCGCTCGCTGAGCCCTTCCTCTGTCTCCTGGAGCGCAGACTGGCGGCGGCATCCGCACAGCCTTTCTTTGCCCTGCTCCCTCGAGGCGACGTGGGGGTTCGGCCAGGCGTATGGCTACTGTAAAAATAGCCCCAGCGGCCAGCATTGTTCCAGCATTAATTTGTGCAGCCCCCGATGGTTATCTGAGCGGCCCATTGTGGGCCGGCTGGATGGGAGCATAATTGGAGGATGTGCGGCTTAAGTCCCTCCTAGTGAAGATGTTTTTCAGGGAATGACCCCTGAACCTCCTCACCAAGAGGGTCGGTTCCGCCCTTTCAGGCTCTTGCTTGGATCTTGGGCTGCAAGGCCCTTCACAAGGTCAGCCAGGAGGAGGGGGGAGGTGTCCCGCCTCTGCTCACACAGGCAGCTGGGAATAGCAAATGTTGTCCCCAGTAGCGCACTGCTTCCCTGAGGCTACCCTGAGAGTCCTGGCTCTGCCCTCTGGGCCCCGAAACCCACTGGCCGGGCTGGCACTCAAAGGACCCCGCAGCAGCTCGTGGATGGGGGTGACAGTAAGTTCCCGGAGACCCTCTGCTCTGGGAGCTGGTCTCCCATGAGCTGAGACCTCCAGCCTGCTCCCCACTCAGGACCCGGTCTCCCCAACACCCGAAGCTGAGCCAGGATGTAGGGTAGGACCTGAACGGGGCAGAACTGGAGCTGGTCATGCATCTGGCATTGTAGGAGTCTCCCTGTTCCCCATCCCGTGTATCCAGGGATGTGTTCCTCGGTCACGTCACCTGTCCGTCCACGGCTGCCACAAATACAAGCCCACGTACCCTTCAGGAGCACACGGCCGGCAGCCATCCTCTGGCCCCCTCCTGCCAGATCATGGTGCATGGCCTCACCCAGATTCACTTACAGCTCTGGAGACCAGATCCAGGTGCGGGCATCCCCCCCTTATTTCAAGCCCCTCTGGGGTGTCTGACCAGCCCCGCGCCTGTATATGCCCACTGCAGAAAGCCCCTTGGCTCCTGCCTCCTGTACATTCCTGGCATCCACCCACATCTCTCCGTCACCATGGCAACCACCACAGCAGCCTCCTTCCAGGTCTCCCTGCTGCTACCCCATCCGCCCCCGCAAAACATTCTTGACAGCGGCTGAGGGCAACGTCTAGAGCATAATCAGACCAGTATGTGCCCCCAACCCCAGCCTTCCATTATCACTCCCAGAAGAAAACACAAACCTCTCACCACAAGCTAGGCCCTGTCGCCCCATTCTCCCTTCTCCTTGGGACACTGGCTCCACAGAACTGCTTTCGTTCATCCCACTCAGGCTCAGGCTGCCTGCACAGCTGCTCCAAGCCCTCTGGTGGCAGCATGTCACTTGTAGGAACTAGACAGTGAGCCCTGGTCTAGCAGCTGACAGCCACTTCCTGGCTGGGTGTCTGCAGGCAAGTTACTCAACCTCTCTGGTCCTTAGTGTCTCATCTGTAAGATGAGGATAATCATGCCCACCTCATAGGGATGATGTGAGGACTGAATGGGGAGGGGGGGGAGGATGCATGGAAAGTATTCAGAACGGTATTTGACAAGTAGCAAATACTCCTTAAATAAGAGCTGCTGTATTACTGCTACTCCTGCCGTAATCATCAGGTGCACCTTGACCTTGGGGTGTCTTACTCAGGGTGAGATCGGCAAGGGAGGCCAAGCGACACACCTGAGGTCATACAGCTGGCAGTGACAGTAACTGTAATGTGCCTGAACCCTACCCCTCTGCCAGCCCGGCCCAATCTCAGACACCACCTTCCCTGGAGTACTTCCACGCCTCTCCACAGGCTCACGATGAAGCCCACTAATTCCCACCTGCCACCCCACCGTGCAGTAAGCACTTAGGAGCAAGCCCCCCCCCCCCCCGCCCCGGCCCCCCAGGAGTTCCAGCAGCCTGCTGCCTGAAGGCAGCCGCTAAGAGCTGTTTTCCTTGGCGCTAGGCCCAGGGCTATTTTGTAGCGACCGTGATACATAATTCCCCATTTTAAGAGCTTCCTCTTTGGTTATTACAGTGACAAGCGATTAGGCTCCCTCCTAGCCCAGTTGAAATTCTCCTTGTCTCTCTGTTCCAGAGGTCATGGCCAGAACTTGCCGTGCCTGAGGACCAACTTGCAGATCACCTGGTCGGCTTCGGCACGTCCCTGGGACAGATTCAACCTGGTGCAAGCAATGCTGCGATTTATCAGATGTGCCTTGGCTTCTGCCCAATGTATAACTACCAGATTTTTGGTGCTTCCTTTGTGTGGAGCGGTCACTAAATTCTACTTACTCCTCTAACAGCCTTCTTGTCGAAGGGGTTTTTTAGTCCTGTTTTACAGATGAAGGAAACTGAAGCTCAGACGGGGAAGCGAGTGGCCTGCCTGAGGCCAGGCACAGAAGTCAGAATTCCCAACTTGATCTGCCCGATGCCTTGGGGACCAGGGCAAAGTTTAGGAAAGAGGAGGCATCTGCACTGTTTGCAGATGGAGATGCTGAGGCCAGAGGGAAGAGGACTGCAGACGTAGAGCACTGTATGGCTGGGGACTGAGTATCCTGCCTGAGTCCTGCCCTCCCAACCCCTCTGGCCCCAGGTGCCCACACACCAGCCAGCTGGATCTTGAATCAAGTTGCAGACGCTGCTGTGGCTGCCTCCCCCAGCACCTGCCACCTCGGTCCAAGGCTGTGGCGAAACCAAGCTCTTGCCTCTTTTTCCTGGCTGAGCTGCCCAGAAGCTGGGAAATTCTCACCCATCCCTGCAGAACTTGAACCTTCTCAAGTAAAAACAATCAGCTTCCCACAAGGATTGCTCTGGAAAAGAACAATGATTTAAATCTCACACTGTCAGGACTTAACCACTCATGAGCTTTTATCAGGTTTTCAAAATAAGAAGGCAGGAACTTTGCTGTTTCCTCTCTAGAATACCTCCCATCTCCAAAGTACCTAGCCCTCAGTCAGCCTTTAAGATCCATCTCTGGGCCTCACTGAACAGTCAGTGTTTCTCAGTGAACCTCTGAGGGTTAGGTAAGTGGCTCCCAGAATCCCAAGAGAGATCTAAATGACCCACCCATTTCACGGGTGGGGAGACCAGAGACCTGGACAGCCCTGCCCTGAGAACAGGGCTATATCCTCC